GTCATCGGCGCGGAGGACAAGATAGGTCCTACATCGTACAGTGGGTATATTGGTCACTGAACCACCCCCCCCTTTAAATCCCCGTCGCCCGCCTCTTCCTGGGTATCGTGTCATGAATGTCAGGCAGCATCCATCTTAACCTTTCGTAGGTTCTTGAGCTCATCCTGCTCGACCTGTTAGTACATGACATGCCATGTTTGTCAATGCCATCACCTCCTGTGGATGTGGAGCTTACCTCCGCTTTCCGCTTGCCCAACGCCGGCTCCGGTGTACTCCTGGCCGGCGTGCCGTCTCTGGGCCTCGTCGCCTCGGCGTGACAGCTGACGTGGTACGCACGATTACCCACCAGCATCGTATCCAGCCAGACCCATTCCTGCGCCGTATCCAGCCACTTGTTCTCGAATTTCTCCTGGCAGATGGGACACACGCTGTTGACCCCCGCCGACGCGTCGGGCACCACGACGTACCGGGGCTCGGCTTCCTTCTTCTGCGCCGCACTGCTGTCGCGGCCGTCTTCGCCCAGCGCCTCGTCCTTGTGCTCCGCGTCCACCACCTCGCGCGACTTGAGCCAGTCTGCCACGTCGACGTACCAGCTCCGATGCTGGCCCCGTCTCTCCGCCTCCGCCAGTCGCTGGTGAACTTGGAAGTGCCAGTCCATGTGTGCCGTCTTCTTCTTCCTGCCTGCCTCGTCTTTCCTAAATCGTCGTCCACACTGCGTGCATTGGGGGCCTAGAGCCTCAAATAATGCCGGTATTAGGTGCGGGCGGAATCTAGTTCAGTAGGCTTAGCAAACGCACTGGCAGGAGAGGACGGAACGGAGAGGAAGTAGAAAAGGGAATTCCGGAAAACCATTTGCAGCGGTTTGTATGATGTACGGTGGGAAAACTCACTCTTGCTTCAGTGATGCAGCATCGAGTTGAATGCTGTTCATCAACCGCCCAGGAAGCGATATAGCAATTGCCCCGGCATTCAGAGGCGCCAAAAGCTGCGCGAGGTTTGGCGGAAGCATCCCTGGCGGGGGTCCAGCCGTACCAGGGAACGGTGGTGGAGGAGCCGCGGCGCCGACCAGTGGCGTCGCGGCCGGGGGCGTCGATGTTGGGACTCCGGAAAGCAATCCTGCCTTCCGAAGTCCCGCAAGGAGCGCCATGGGATCAGGAGTTGGGGCTGCACTCGGTTGTGGATGTGGCTGAGGAGGTCGTATGGGGATGGCCCCGACTGCTGCAGCCGGCTGTTGTGTCGCTGCCGCAGGTGGTGGTGTCGGCACCTGCGGGGTGACCGACTGTCGAGACAAGAGCGATGCGAGAGCCCCTTTCCCAAGCAGAGCGTCAAGCGTCAAAGAGCCTTGCTGCGGGGCCGGACCCGTTGACGACGGCGGTACTACGGACGCCGCGGACGAGACGGCCAGCGGCGTTTTGTACGGTACATGAGGAGCAGCAGCAGCAGCGGCAGCGACGGGGCCGCCATGCGCAGGCTTTTGGGCCAGATATGGCCTTAGTTTCACAGCAAGATCGGCTACTTGATTTTTAACCAGGACCAACTGGTCCGGCGGCACATTCTGCGTCTGGAGCAGAGTCTGCAAATCCAGCAACCCTTTCAACCTCTGCTGAACACCCTGATCGTTTGGATTCTCACTGACTTCCACCTTGGAGACACTGATTAACTCCTCAATGTCACGATTCAAAGACGCAATGTCCACAGCGGCCGAGTAGTGAGATACAGGTGGTCCCGCCGGCGGCGGAAACGGCGATGGTGTACCGTAGGAGTGCGTCGGCTGGGGGCTTGTTAGTATTATGTGAGAAACACAACCAGAGGGCGAGAGTAGAAGCTCTAGAACTCACGGGATACAGACTCGACGTGTGAGGAACGACTGGAGCGCTCGGCGGGCGGGAGCCGTTCAACCCGTTCAACCCGTTCATCTGCTGCTGCCTTTGCAGTGGCGGCCCTGGAAGGCCATGCTGCGCTGACCCCGGCCGCATGCCTGGGGGTGTCGGTGTCGCCCTGACAGGTGCGTGACCACGTCCTCTGCCCAGGGGAAACCCTTGGCGTCCCTGTGCTTGGATGGCTAAAGCCGAGGTTCGGGCCTTCAAAAGTGATTCTTCGATGGGCCTGGTGACTTCAGGAGGGAATACCGGCCTGTCATCGAGAGACTGTGGCACGGGCTGCTTCCACGTTTGCAGTGTTTCTTCCATTTTCCGTCGTACTTGATTGTCGACGGCAGCGTACGCTTCCATAAAAGTCTGATAGAGCTGGGCTCCGAAGAAGAGAGTATACGGGGTTCCCACGTTTTTAACAATCGAGTCGAGAACATAGAGCGCGGGAAGTTTCTTATGTGGTGCTGTCTATGGTGCACATGTCAGAGACAAGAAGAAAACAGCATGATGGGAGAACTGACGAAACGAGACGATACCATGACGCTTTTTGTTCGACATACAGCCATAGGTGATGTGATGTCAAGGCGCGAGTTACGGAGAGTCGACTTACCCGCAAGATGTGCTTTTGCAGAACATCCGTAATGACCTGCGCATGCTCTGTATTTTCTCTCGCGATAGTCGTAAGAGTACTGATATCGGCCCTGTTTGTTGAGCTGAGGTCTTCGAGGGCCTGGCGGTAGTCTTCAGCCACGTCCAAATCCGGCTGGTCGTCAGACATGATGCCGATGGTGCAACCTGTTCAAAAACACGGCAAACAGAGGTGATATTTGATAAAAATTTGCTTTGCAGTAAACTCAACTCCTCCCCTCCAAAGATACGGGAAGAGAGTCGGGCGAAGCTTGCAAGAATGCTGGTTTTTCTTCTTCTTTCTTTTTTTTTTTCTTTTTTTCTTTCTTTCCTGAAGTTTGTGTTGAGGGAGTGCAGAGCTCAGGGAGAGAGCCTTAGGTCACCGGAAACACAGGTTGAAGGGAGAAAGAAAGCGACAAAGACGAAGAGACCACCCAATTATGTATGAACAAACGCGCACGCCTCGTTCTAGTAGAGATCAGGACAACTGAGACCTATTCTGGGGGGTAGGGGATGGGTGAAGAAATCTTCTGCTTCAATCTTCGCATCCAACCAGCGCCTTGTTCCCGAAGAAATCACAACGTCAAGGCCTACCCAGTCCAAGCAGATCAAGAGGGCATACTAGCCGGGCATCATCCAAAAGGAGCCGTCGCATACACAAGTCCTGGGAGGTGGCGCTTCGTTTCTTTGTGGATGGGAAGGGCCAGGCGTATTGCCTTGACGGAATCGTATTCTTTGCTGTCGTTTGGTCGTTCGGTGGTTGGCTGAACAGCTCGAAAAGTACGAGTCGCCGAGTGCAACAAACACCACTGCAACAAAGCAGACGAGGGAGGAAAAAAGAAAGAGAAAAAAAAGGGCTAGCTGAATGGTGTCTTGTTAGATGTGACCACCTACCCACGTTGCGTTGATAAAGCTTGGGTGCTGTTGCGGCGGGTGTCGCGTGTGAAGGAACGGAAGAAGTAGGAAGATGAAGGTTCCAGGTTACGCTTGGGGTAAGGAAGACGGGTTTATGGTGTGGCAGTTGTTCGCCGTTGCTGAAGCTGATGGCACTGGTACCTTGGTCAGTCCCAATTTTTCCGCTCTTCCCTTAATTACCTTAGGTAATTGATTGCTTCGTATCCGTACGCGAGACCTGACTCGACCAGAAAAAGCACGCACTGGCCTTTTGCATCACGTGATGCAGGGTGCACGAGCCCATGGGTTGGTCTATATAAACAAGCTCCCCTTCCCAGATTTTTAGTTTCCTTTTCTTCTCCTTTTCTTTTCTTCATACTTACCTTGTCCGATTTCGTGGCGCTCAAGAAGGCCGCGAAGTAAGAAGGAGGGCCTGCATTGCACATCGCGGAGTCAGCCTTTTTCGATTGTCCTTCGGGGCCATCGCGGGCGCAATTTTTGATTTGCAACTACTCTTTTTCATTATGATGCTGCTTGACGTAGCTTCATGAAGAAGAAGATACTCGTCGGTCGTGTTCGAGGCATCTGGTCCATACACACAAATGCGATTTTGATTTCTTTTTCTGCGGAAAGAAAGCTTTGAATCCCTCAGCGCCTGTGACATTCGCCTGTCAGTCCACACCTTTGTTTCCTCTTAATGATGTATTTATCACTGGACTATGAATCACGAGTACCTGGGGCGACACAAGACTCAAAACGTCGTCGAAGCGCTTGTTGAATGGTGTGGAGGCTCAATCAAAATTCTCACAACCTCAACATGGACGACAAAGTATGCACACGAGGCTTTTTTCCAGTGTATTATTAACCGTGTTACAGGATGCTGGTGTTGATACCCATGCCTCAGCACCGTTGTTATCATATATGGGGGTTCATACAGCTATAATTATAACGTGCTCCGCCAGGGCGGCTACAGCACGAAAGCAGCGGCGTCTAACGAGTATGATGGATAACCTGGGAAAGGTGTCGGTCCCATCGCCATGCAAGTTCCGTTACGTTACCCATAAAATTTACGGCTATTGTAACCACATTTCCTGTCTACGATACGAGACAGTGTAACAGACTCACACGGGATGTCATTTTTGGCATCATCTTGGTGCCGCTGGCGGCAGTTTGCCACAAGGATGACGGAGGTTGCATCGTGCGCCGTGCCACGGACAACTCCACACTCCAACAGGCGCGCACCTGCTAATGATGAAACTCGGCGGCGGGACGTCTCGCCCAATCAACGCCTGCTCACAACGCCTGCTCACAACGCCAGCTCACAACGCCACAGTTAAAGCGACCTAGGTACAACATCGTTAACCTCGAATCGATATATCCACGGCTACACAAAGCAATCATTGACAGGGATTTTACTTGTGTCATACTCCGTTCATTGCTATCTTCCAAGTATGGAGGGACGCTATCGAGAGGAAAGGTCAAAGGGGAAAATCTCCGGTACCTAGGACGTACAAACAGCAACAGTCGGCCTGGCTATCGAGCCCTCAGCAGCTTCGATGTCCTGCTACCAAGGGATGGGATCTTGGCCCTTTGGCCCTTTGGCCCCGGTCCGAAACGTACCAGACAAACAGGGAACGGTTGGATGACAGCTCTCCACGCTGCTTCAACCTCAAGTCGATGGCCTATCCGTACACCGTCCTACTGTAGCCTAACTTACTCCCATGTACAGACAGACTGGTCACTGTCGAGCGCTTCTTGTCCGACTCCCGGCACTACCCAAAGACGCTAACCCACCGCGACTTTTTCGGCCTCGTGGGTCGGTCCCTTGAACTCCGCTGCTTCTTAGCCGACAGTGAGGTTTCAAGTAGATGGAATAAGGTCGCCGCTGCCAGGCCATCTTGATCCCATCGGTTCCCGGCTACGTTTCGCCCAACGGAGCCTTGAATCCGCTTCTCATCCTATGGGCCCAAATCGGTTGGCCACGATGCCCTCGATGCCCTCGATGCCCTCGAATATTCATTCAGGGCTCAGCTCCCGGGCGCGAATAGACGAACGGCCATCCGCTACTCTGCTTTGGCTTTCGTCCTCTCTTTCGACCTGGTTCGACTTCGCATCTTCCCTTGTGGCGCCGATGTTGACTGGGGTCGCGGCTACTACTACCTATTTAGTCATATTCCTCTGTGACTACAATGGGCACTGGCACTGTTCGCTATTAAAGACACAGGAGGCCGCTGTTCACCTTTCAGTCACCATCTACTGTCACCACCTACTCATATTCTCACCTCGACAGGGCCCCTCGGAGTCTTCTGACGCCGCTGAACAATGTCATTCACGCCCAACACGTAGTTCCTTTGTATTCATTCTTTTTCTTTTACTATTGTTCATTTACAACATTCACCATCTTTCTTTATACCAACCTAGTCCGGACTGGTTCCTGACTGTTTGTTATCTATTCTTATTCACCTCCCAGCACTAGTGGATTATCTTTCTTTCTGTCTCTCGTCTCCTCTAGATTCCTCAGCTTCATTCACTCTCAACAATTTTTTTATTCTACTTGTCTCCAGATACCCCTCGAGCAATCAAGACCTACAACCAGCTTATCCATCAAGCCATCAGGCCATCACTATCTTGTCGTCCTAATCCAGGGAAACATCATCCTCTTCATCGCCTTCAACGTAAGTTTAAGACAACCGGGAAAGCCTCGACCAGCCATAGCAGACAGCTAATGTCCCCTCTCTCCAGGTCTCCTCACACTGCCCGCACTGCAAGATCGATCGAAATGTTCAACCTCTCGGAGAACTCGAGGCTCCGTGGCTCAGGCCACTTAATCCTCAACGTCTTCCGCGCCTGCAACATCATCAGTCTCCTGGCCGTCTGCGTCGCCACATGGGTCATGATCATCATGTCCGGCCTGACAGGAAACTTCTTCTTCTTCGAGGCCGTGTCCCACTTCTTCACCTTCGTCGTCGCTTCCTTCCTCATGTGCTCCGAGCTCAACCTCTTCAAGCGCTACTTCGCCCGCCACTGGCCCGTCCTCTCCCCCTACCGCGGCCTGACCTGGCTCGGCATCGCCATGATCGTCATGGGCTGCCACGTCCTCGGCAACCTCAACCGCCGCTCCGTCACCCCCGAGGTCATGGGCGGCCACTTCTGGCGCCTCGTCCTCGCCGCCGGCATCCTCTGCGTCACCTTCGGCTTCTTCAACATCATCTCCTCCGTCATCTTCCGCGACTCGGACAACGGCATCACCGCCCGCAACATCCGTGCCGACGGCGCCATCGCCTCGCCCACCTCGGGCGCCCCGACCTTCAACGACGCCTTCTCCGCCCGCAGCGGCTCCTTCCGCAGCAACCCCTCCTTCCGCAACGAGAAGGGCTTCAAGCGCCTGACCCAGCGGTTCATCAAGCCTTCCTGGCCCGGCGCGAAGCCCAAGATCGGCAAGCCTATGCCCGCCATGGACGACGACGACGACGTCGAAAGGGCCAGCAACAATGACGCGAGCATCTATCCTGTTCCCGACCGCAGCCCCATCATGCCGGATGTTCCGCGCCCGCCTACTGCTTTGCACCCCATCAACCAGCGGATCACCACTTACAGTGAAGCCCATCATCTCAACCGCTTCTGACAAAGGGGACCCCCAAAGGAAAAAATACAAATTAGGCTACTCTCCTATGCAGACCCAATATGGGGCTAAAAGAAGGGGGGGAAGGCAAGAGATGACCATAATGAGCCGGAGTCTTCCACTAAAACGGTCAGGTGTTCTTCAATACAGCATGGCGTTATGGTTTGTTTGGTTGCTTCACACGGATACCCTACGCGAGTAAGCAGGGGCGAGCCTGCGTTGCTCTGTATCACTAGGTTCTCCATCAGTACTCTTCTGCATTTATTCTTAGCTTCGTATTAAAATTCCGTGCCCTGTTGGAAGATATCAGTCAATCAGTATGTGTATCATCCTGCAACCGCTGTCAACAACAGGGAACGTGAGAGTACGTTGGCGGCATCGTCTTCCCCATGCCCAAACACAAGCTGAGCCAAGACCTTGCCAGCAGCACGGTCATCTCAAAAAGTAGGTTTAAGTAGACTTCGTCAAACCGAAGTTGAGCCTTGCGTGAGCGGATAGCCAGCACTGAGCTCAGGCATCGACCATCCCACACAAAGGACAGGGGAGGGACATAGGCGCCTGGGTACTGCGCAGCTCTCGAGAAGAGAGGAAATGAGAAACACGACCCAGTGCGTAAATATCACCATGTCTCGAATGATGATCTCTTACAGCGCATTCACAGTAGTGATACATTCAAAACGCTAACACAACGAGCCATAAAGTCGTGCCTCAAATAGGGCGGTTCATTTGTTCCGAATATCTGTATAATTCCTGACCGAGCCGGGCCACTCCATCGCATGATATCAAATGCCAGAAGCAAGAGTCGTCGTAATAATGCCGTCATCACGGAATACCCTTTTCCCAACACATGGTTTGTCCCCTGCAAAACCGTCTCACGACCGACAGTGACGATATGAGAATCCGCATCATCAGCCGCAACGGCGACCGATTTAACGGTAGCGCCACAGGTTGAGAGTGTTGTGGCGCTTCCACGTCTTCCTGCGGCCAGCCCTGGTCTTGTTGTAGCGGTGACCCTTGTTGAGACCACGGGACCTCTTGCCGGTGGCGGTGAGGCCGCGGGCCTCGCGGTGCTTGTGGACGGGGTTGACGATCCAGTTGATGCGGGGGTCGATGCGGATGGCCTTGTGCTGGGGGTCGACGAGGATGACCTCGTAGTACTTGTAGGTCGAGTCCTCGTTGATCCAGTACGAGTTGAGGACGCGCAGGTTAGAGCACCTGCGGCCAACACGCTCCTCGGCGGTGGCCTGGAGAGAGCGCTGGTACTTCAGCTGGTTGATACCATGGTTGGTAGGCTTGCCTGTGAGTTGTCCAGTTGCATTAGCTGTCTGCCGTCCTCTCCACCCAAGAAAGAGAAAATGAAACTTCGCTCCGGTCATCTCAAGACGTACCGTAGGTGGCACCCTTGGGGGCGGGCTTCTTGCGACCACCGCGGCGGACGCGGATGCGGTAGATGACATAGCCCTGCTTGGCCTTGTATCCGAGGCGGCGGGCCTTGTCGGGGCGGGAAGGACGGGAAGCGCGGTGGCAGACGTTGAGTTGACGGAGCTATATTGATGCACTCTCAGCAAATGTTCAACGAGTGTATAGCAGAGACAGGGGAGCAGCTCTCAACCACCATCCTGCTATCCGCGAGCTAGCACGGAAAGCATGGAGGGTAGTGAAGCTCTCCTCCCCCGCCCACATTATTGATTTTCAACGTACTTCCCAGCAGCGGACTCGGAGAAGGAAGAGCATAACATCGCTCTGCTTCTTCTTCTGAAGCTCCTCGACGTACTTGAGGGCACCCATTTTGGCTGCACAGCGAAGACTGTCAGTTGAAATAGCTCAAGTCTCGAATGGGCATGTATAAGCCTGTGACGGAGAGAACAAACCAGCTTGTCACGTCAAATCCGGGCGCCGAATTGTTGTCGAGGGGGGGTGATGGTCGCAAAGATCGGGTTGGGAAGTTTCACGGAAAGTTCGATGAGGAAAATTTGTGCCAGTTCCAGTTTGTGGGATAAGCGATAGGCTAGGCCAAATACGGCTAGTGCCATAGGACTTGCCCCAGACACAATATTATTGGGTGGCAGAGTGGGTCAATACACGTAAGGTGAGTGGCCTTCACCGACACTCACCTGGTGGACCACACAATCGACTTATCCTCAACTAAATCTCATGCGCACAACCTCAATCTCTCATCGCTATAGCTTTACACACCTGCTCAATACATTATTTATCCGTCTGGACGATTCGAACTCCACATATATGAAACCGAGAAAATCAGTGAGCATCAGCCGGGACATCGGTCAGCAACCTGGACCACTGCATCACTTGCCGTCTCGCTGCCTGTCCCCACGTCTCCTCCTCCATCCCGCTGTACTCGTTGAAAAACTCGATAGCCATACCCTCTATTGCCATGTCCTGATCCGTACCCGGCGCCGAGAACCGCGGGTTGAAATCCGGGCTCATCAGGGCCTCGACAAGGTCTTGCCCCAAAGTCAAGCCTCGCTTGAGCAGATGTGCCATGTTATCAGCATCTTGCCGCCACAGCTCTTCAATCCCTAAATCGAGTTTCTCGCTGCCGACACTCTTGTTAAAGCCGTTGTAAATCTGTAGCAGTCGCTCACATTGTCCCAGTGCTTGGGTGCCGGCTTGCTGGAGAATTGCCTTAGAGTCGTGGAGGCTCTGACTTTCAGTGCCCTCCCCTGATTCAGGGGCGGTGGCACCTCCACCCGTCCAGGGCTGCAGAAGTTCTTTCTCAAATTTCTCCCTGCCGCCGAATGTTAAGGCCCAGTACGTTATAGGCGAGGATGGCGATGAGGGCCTACCTTCTCTTTTTGCATTCCTCTATTAATGCTTCCATATCCGCTGTGTCCTGGTTAATCTTGTCCTCGAGGTGCACAGTCCGGTTATTCCTCTGCTTGCGGTCTATCGGCATCTTGTCTCTCACAGGTCGTTTTCCTGGGGTTTCCGAAGTGTCACTCGAGCAGGGTGATGGTCGCTTTGCCGACTGCTTTCCGTTCTTCTGGCGTGCCCCCCTGGTCCGGTTGTTCCCAGTGCCCACTTTCTTCCTCTGGTAGGCCATTTTCGAGGCTCTCTTAGCCGACTGCGGCTGTCGTGTGTGCAAATCACGAAAGTCGGCTTGCCCAGACACTATTCTGACTGATCAGTGTTCGCAGGAACGCCCGGGCGAATCTTGTCATGCTCGGCGGGAATATCACGTAATTACCGGCTTGCTGTTACTTTTGAAGACTAGTGGGACATTGAGCTCTTGTTTCCATGGAACTGGCCTTCGGCTAATGTAGCAAGACTGTGGCGGTTTCAAGATGTGAGTACAAAGACACAGCGGAGCTGATAGCTCATGACCAGCAGGCCAGTTTCTGATAGTACAGGAACAGCATAATGGCGGGAGGATGAGCCTCTGAGTTTACTTTTTCCCCTCGTTCAACTGAGGGGTACGTACGTACTTGGTCATCTGGCCAGACAGAGTGCACCGAGATAGGGGGAGTGGGAAGAAGGAAGGTATGTCCCACCCTACTGTTTCAGCCTGTGGCCATTGAGTGATATAACTCCCAGCAGAAACATCTACATATCCTGATGTCACATGTACCCAGTCGTCACTTCATTGCCGCTGTTCCCGTGCCTGATTCGAGATGACTCAAATGCCCTAAAAATGTGAGGAGGTGATGCTTGGTAACTCCACAGGTGATCGTCATGAATGAGGTCGAGACCATTGTGAATCCCTTGTCAATCTCGTGGAAGAATACTCTGTATCCCCGGCTTCTCGACTACAGGGACCACACCAGTCTTGTTTATGTATACACGAGAAATAAAAGAAGGAAAGGAAGATGAAGAAGAAAAGAAAGGACAGAAGAGAAAGAGATAATTGTCGGTTACGCTCAGCAGTTAGGAAACAAGGCCAAAAACAAAACCGTCACATCTTCGTCCAGGGCAGGATTCCCGTTCCAAGAACAGCCAGAGAAACGAATACCAGACTTCGACGGTATACTTCCCATCCAACTAGTTCCGCATCATTCATCCTGCGCCTTAGTGAAATACGCCAGGTCAATCCTCCGCCAGCCTCAGCTTCACATCTTTGGATCAACGGTTCACCTTTTGACAGAAGTCGGTCTGTTTGGTCATAAGCCATAAACTCCGGGCTGTCTTGCAAATTTACTACCTCTCCTGTCTTTCCGTCTCTTACCTTCACCTGTCTGTCCCGTGTAAACGAACTGCCAACTCCTCGTATTAAGAGCCCGTCCTTGAGAAGCAGCCACGGAAAGTCCTCCCATTACACGTAGACAAGTCGTACCCAAGTTTCCGCCCTGCTCTTTCATTTTTGGTGACATCGTTACACTCCCAATGCGTGCAAATATAAAATCCGTCTATGGGCATCGACCCATCCGTCCCTGGGCAATGAAGCAAGTGCAGAAGGGGGAGGAAAGAAAGAAAAGCTCTGAGTCATTTCCATTCGGCCCAGGTACGTCACCGGGGGGGTTGAAAGAAGACTGCCGGAAGAAGAAGAAGAAGAAGAAGAAAGAGAGAAGATCTTTAAACAAAGTACCAAAGCAGAAGTAAGCGAAAGTGTATGTGGGAGTTCGTGTAAGTGCGCCGTCTCCAGTCTGCCATCTAAGTTGAGTCGCCTGAATTCGTGGGCTTCCCCCTCCCCCACAGTAAGCCGTCCAACGCCGCTGAAGCAAAAAAAGGAAAGCAGTCGCAGGTATCTTCAACAAAAACTCTGGGCTGTTTCAGTCGATCGTGATTGTCGTAGATGTGTCGTCCCGGAAGCCAACAGTCTAGAGGTCTGGTACCAAAAGTACAAAAGCGCCGAAACAAGAAAAGAAAAAAAAAAAGAAATTCGCCCCAGCCAAGCCAACAGGGGCCCTCGGGAGGGTTTTTTTTTTGTTTTCGTTTTGCCGGAACGAGACATATGAAAATCTCAACGTGTGTTCAAAGAAAGGCTTTGGAAGCCACTGATCCAGTCGCCGCCTGGGGGGGTCATCGCGGAGGCACCGGGTTCATGGGACGGCCCGGCACCTTGAGGCGGTGTCTGGAACCGACCAAACTTTGCCTGGTAGTCGCTACTACTGGGCGGGAATCCATAGCCGTCAACACTCGGCATCACACCAGGTGCAAACGGCATGTTACTGGGTCGGCCTGCGGGGTTCGTGCCCGCAATGTGAGGGAATGGGTAGCCAGTCTGACCATATTTTGCACCCGGGAAGGGTTTCTCGCCGCCGAGTGGAGGATTGAAAATGTTGGAAGGCCCGCGAACCGATGGACCAGAGCCGGCGAAACCGCCGTGCTGTTGTTGACCTTGCTGCTGTTGGCCTTGCACCTGCTGCTGCTGCTGTTGCTGCTGCTGTTGCTGCTGCTGTTGCTGTTGCTGCTGGTGATTCTGTCGTCGCTCTGAGCTGTGTGTACCTCGCTGTATGCCAATGGCACCTGGTCCGACACCGCTTGGAGCTTGGATGCCGAGAGTAGGGCTCGCGAAGGACGCGGGGTTGATAGCCGACATCCAGATCCGCGTCTTGTAAATTTTGAACAAGTCCGTGACAAGAGAGTTGAAGTTGATGTACGTATCGGCGAAGTAATAGAACGTGAGCTTCTTCCAATCCCTGAATCAATTCCATCAGTATGTGACATCCCCGCAAGTGAGAAATGAGGAGGTACACCCACATTTGAAATTCAGCATCCAGAATTTCCATGTTCAAACCGTGGTCTTTCACCTTCTGCATGCAAGCTCGCTTCGCCTTGGCCTCGTTGCCCTCCTTGTCCCTGAGGGCATGTATTTCGTGGCTCTGGGCCAGGCGCTTGATGAGTTTCGGCTTCAGCTCTCCGACATTGGGCTCTTGGATGTGATGCTGTGTCGAAGGACCCATGCCGCCTACTGCACTGGCATGCAGTCCATTGGATGTCGCCATGAGACCCCCGGTGCCGTCTTGGACGGCGGCATTTTGCGAGTACATCATGAGCCATTTGTAGTGCTCCTCTGCGTAGTGTTCCTTGAGCTCTTTGGCTGTCTGCCAATCGACATTGTCACGCATAACCGTGCCCAGATCCGTGCCGCGGTCAGCCTCCACGATGACCAAGTCACCTGGCTTTACCGTGAGCCCCGTTCCCTCCTGAATGTAGAAGACGTCTGCCCGGGCGCACTTGAACAGGACAATATGAAGGAGCTGGTTGTGTCGAGGCTGTGACATGGCGTAGACGTTTCGATGTGGGGAAGGAGGTCGGTTCCCATAAGACGCGGAGGCGTGCAAGTTATAAGACGTTGTTGCAAATGGGTTATTGAACGACAGGCCTTGAGCTGGGGACACCAAACCACCGCCGGGTGTGAAGTAAAAGGCTACGCCAAGCAGATCAGTACCATTACCCACACGGCCTCGATATCCAGTGGCATCAATCTTCACTTGCTTACCAGTGTTAGGCGGCGCAGTGTAGTTCTGGCTCTCAGCGTATCCCGTTGCAAACTCAGGCGTTGCCGCAGCTGGCGCGGCCGGAGTGTCGAGCTGCGTCATGGTATCGGCGACAGAGCTAATTGATCCCTGACGAGTCGGCACGTCGGCGAACGAATGCCGCCTACTCTGCTGTCCATCAGGACCACCAAAGCCCAGCGAGCTGTGCCAGAAGGCCTTCTTCACATTTTCCAGCTTCCGATTTTCATAGGGTGGGCCCGAATACCCGGCGCCGAACTCGCTCATCCTTCGATTCAAGGCCCGCTTGGTGGCCAACTCGGGATTGTCGTTGGCTTCGTCCAACTCGTCAACGGCATAATCAGACTCTTCTGGAACCGAGTCCCGGAGGCTATATCCGTTGCCCATACTGTAAGCAGCTCCCGTCGAGGCTCTGGGTCGAAGCCTGGCGTTTTGGTACTGCTGCTGCTGCCGAAGTAAGGCGTTTTCACGAGCAAGCATCTCGATTGTCTTCGCTTCGGCGCTCTGTTGTTGGTGCAGAGAACCCTGCATCGATTCGGACGCACTTTCATCATCATCATCGTCCTCGACTTCCTTGACCTTTCCAAGCAACGCTCCATCGTTAGACATTTCACTAAGCATGCTTGGGCGCGAGGGCCGGTGTTGGAGCCCTGAGAGAGGAGGACCGCGACCACGGCCGACTGCGGCAGGATTGGTCATAGCCGGCAGGTTCGAGTCGGGATCCAGCTGACCCACGGAATATGACTGTGAACGGTACGTCTTAGGCGTAGGATGGAGTGGGATTGCGAAGGGTATCTGCGGATTCGGTCCGGATTCTCTTGGTGCCGGTGACGTCTGCCCGAAGGGGGCATCGGAATTGAAGAAAGCACCTCCTGCCGTTGACGTGGGGGGTAAAGTCGAAGTAGGGGAAGGAAGCACCTCAGTAAGGCGCGGCGGTGGATCCTTCCTCTCTGAATTCCAGATACCCCCTGCCCAGGTTAAAGGAGGCGGGGCGGGGCCGCGACTCAGAATGCTAGATGACTGAGCATGTGAAGTCCAGGTAGTTGTGCCAGGCTCTCCCGCCGGAGTGGTCGGGTGCGAGGCTGTCGGGGACATCGGGCTGGTAGCGAAGGAACCTTGTCGCGGACGGGCAAGCGGCTGACTGGTGTCGTTCAGCCACGATGCCCGACGGACAGGCTTCTGTGGCTGCGATGCGGCCTGAGGTGGCTCCTGGCGATGCTGTTCGCCCTCGTCCTCGGAACTAGCCAAGGCTTCCGAGTCGGGAGTCGATCGCCGGTTAAGCTTATCTAGAAGGATCGCTTGATTGTTGGGAGCCACTGCCGAGATTGTTCCTTGGCCCGGTTTCGACGACGAGCCAGGTTTCGTTGTGCTGGCGCTCATTGTAGGGGCCTGGGAGACGTACTCCGCTATACACTCGGTTCTTTCACGCTGACACAATCAGCAGGCCGCCAGTGGGGTAGCGTTTGACCGTCGACCGTAGCCAATGACCGTGGGCGGCAGTAGTGACGGCTGAAGAGGGTGAGAGAAGAGGGTGAGACACCACGGGAGAAAGTCGCAGTGTAAAAATTCAATCGGCGGAAAAATTGGTCTCTAGCCGCGATGCGCGTGGTAATAAACAACTAGGCAGACAGTTAGTAGTGCGACTCGAGCATGGGTAGATACGTGTACGAGTGGGCATAGGAGGAGTAGAAGTAGGCGCAGTGTTGTGAAAGCCCGCCGTATTGCTGCTATAGCACTCTCTCAACCCCAACTATGGGGGAGAGGTGCTCATATTCCTAACGTCTGCAAAGGCGTCGTGTGTGTATTCCAGCTCTACTTGTCCTGCCTTGCCATGCAGGATGTTGTAGTGCTGTTGACGTTGATCGCGAGCCGCAGTACAAGGAGTGACATAAAAGCCATTGAAAGGACAAGGTGGCAAAGCTATCCTCAAGTCACGTAATGGCTTGACCACAAAGCAAGCCGAGCCCGCCACCAGATTCGCCTCGCATACTCGACGACAAGAGGTATAGTGCAATTATAGTGTAATGGGAAATAGTGGGCGGCAAGAAGCGCATGCTTACCAGATTAAAACGGGGTGTCGGACGACCCAGTCTGGAGGCAGAGGATAGGGCCGTCACGCGGCGGAGAAACGGGTATTCGAGACGTGGTCGTTCCAGGTTACTCGGCGGCGACAGGCGCAGCAGAGGCGAGCCGTCTAAACTAGACGAGTGTGATGTCGTCTCGACTAGGAGACGCAACCGGAGCTCTGGCGACGAACGGTGGAGGAACTTGTGGACGAGAGGATTTGAACGAGTATATAACGCGGAGCAGGGTAGCGGTATGTCGAGAGCTGTCTAAACCCACTTTGTCTAAACCCAGATGCCCGAAAGAAAGGAAATCCAGATGGGATTCTGTATTACAGGGCGTATCGCGCAACCGCTGCGCAATGGCCCTTTCCAATCTGTCGGTATCTTACGTCGGTGTCGTGCGGTGCGATATAGAGGACCGTGGTATGTATACTTTGGGGGTGCGACGGACGTGAACAACGACCTAGGCGCATCCCAAGTCGGATGTGACGAATGGACGCAGCTACGCGACAGGTATACGAAAGATTGGAGGTGATGGAGAAGAGCACAACAAGGCCAGGTCGATCGGGTTTGCGTTGATCGTCTCGGATTGTCGACAAGAATGAAGAAATATCGTGTGCCTGGAGAACGTGGCGAGAGTGGGATAGGAGAGGATGGCGAGTGTCGAGAGGATGGCGAGTGTGAGAGGAAAACCAGCGTCGAGAGTGCAGATGGCCCGAGTAGAAATGAAGAAAAGATCGAAATACTCGGTTGTCTTAGGAAGGCAACTGGGTATGTAGGTAGGTAAGGAAGGTGGTAGGTGGTAGGCCAGGTAGCGATGCGGAGGGGAAAAGCCGACAGTGCTGAGCTTGTTCGATCTGTGTGCGGCAAGAGGTGGTGGCTGGTGTCCTCGTGCCGCTCAGGCTAAGGCACGGTGCGGTACTTTGTTCCAGCTGAGGTACTCGTACAGTACTCTACTAATGGTGGATGCGTGGATACAGCCTGGCGTTCGAAACGGAGACCGGGAAGTCCAGGCCGGTCGTTAGGTGGCGAACTCGAAATTGTCTGTCTGTCATAAGAAGATGATATCTTTTGCACTTCATAGCATCCCTCCCCAATTTCATTCATTCATCCATCATACATTTTCGTCATCATTAAGGGATAGGCTCCGGGAAATGGTTGAGTGTAGGATCCAGGCCCCTCTCTGTGTTTCTCTCCCTACCCCTAAAAAAGAGAGAGAGGAAGAAAAAGAAAAAAAGAAAAAAAAAAGGAAACAAAATCAATTAGTAGGATATAAAAGGACAAACACGGCTTTGCTCCGTAGTTGCTCCCCTCCTGCATAAGTACTGCAACTAAGGTAGGTACACCCTAAGTATTCTCCTACAGTGTAAAAGGACATTTAGACCGTTCCCTCATAGGAGCAAGTCCCTGGTCAACTCTTAGCAAGTTGTAGCCGGTGCGGAGACGCTGTAAAACTACCGCTCCTAGTTCAGTTGCCCCTGAGGAAGAAGCTGATTTTGAGTTACGACGAGACGTTAATTAGAGGAAACCTTCCCGGACCACGAAACGGGGTGGGACGGGTATGACCTTATCCTCAGAGGCATAAACGAATCACAAGAAGTCCCAAAATGACTACCGAGGAAGATCGACGATGCTCCTGAGTGTAGTTAACTCAGTAAGGAGTGGAGTAGAGCATAGGGGCTTACAGAGTAGAGGCGAGGATCTCCTATCTGTCACGGCCGTAGCACCTCAGGCACAACTACTAATTAAGATCTCACTTTAGCCGGTCAAGTTCCCCTTATTCCTGCAATGGGCTGTCTCTTAATTACGAGAACAGCTGGGGAAAGGTGCCAGGGGATAGGCAGGCAATGGTATGGGGCGGAAATTTGACATGTATGGAGCATCCGTGCGTACGGAATACAACGACATACCGGTCAGTTACGGGGAAAGTAGGTAGTTAGTGACGGGGGTAAAATTATGAGGCCCTCTCGTCGTCTCCCACATTATACCCATTCCAATACCTTATTGTTTCGGGGAAAGGGGATGCTTCGAGGGAGGCTTTGGCGAAGGCGGCTGGTGGAATTTGGACGCGACGCCGAGTTACTGTAATCAGCGATGTACATACAATACAGTCTTGGTGCATAGCTTTCTTCGGAACAGAGAATAGGGGTCGGAAGAGCACTAAGCGCACCTGCATAAGTGGCATGACCCTGGCCGCATGGCTGTCCGTACGTTGTAGCAAGACAACTTCTTTCGACCTCGGGTTCTCCCCGCTTTTTTTTTTTTTTTTTTTTTGTATTTGATTCTACGAAATGGCGATTGAACTTTCGCATCGCAGCACCTCTGACTTCTCGTCTTCATCTCTCCGCCAACAGTACTATTGACACTCACAGAAAACATCGATATATGTATGCTTCGTACGTACGAAGTACGTTGTCTTTCACCCATGGTACTTACTTGTAGTCGCCGCTCCGCTCCGGTCGTTGCACTCCGATTATTAATGTGTCGGCATGGACGGGGCTCGCCTGCCAAGACCCCTTAGGTACGACGTGCGAAAGTATTCCTGGGCTCGTTAACACTACTAAGGTACATTCATGACGCTGCGATTCTAGGGACGTACGTACCAACTCCGCACGAGTACAACCTATGCACGCAGAGCTAGTGATATGCACGGACCACGACTGGGGTAGAGTCGTATCCTGGAACCAATAAAAAGAGGCGATTTTCTCCAGAGCACCCAATCCTTCCACCCCGCACTTGCCCCACTTAATTCAGATCCCCACCACCGACTTCGTTAAGCTTTTTCGACCGGTTCGACGTCAGCAATGCCAGCAATGGGCTGATAGTAATTAACCAGTTCGTGGAGGGAGAGGCTGCCATTTCTTTGTTCTTTGTTTTCTTCCCCGACCTTATTACCAGGTATCGCTTCTGGTCGTAAAGCCGTGATTCGTTTATATATCTGTTCCCGTTCCACTCCGGGGAGACAGGGCGCTAGATGTATTTATTACCAAAAATCCAGCTACCTGCTTCGCCCGGAAGGGGCAAGTGTACGGATAGGTATATACGTTCCACCGCGATGCTCCCTTTCTTCACATTAACTTCTCTGAACTGTAGTTCCGCTGGTTGCTTGACGTGCTGATGGTTGCCTATCCAAAATCAATTCGACCAGAAGCTTCTACTGTTCAAAGGCTATGGCCTTGCCTCGCAATGAGTTGTGAAGAAGAAGGAAGCTGCATTTAAGGATTGAGGACAACACCCATGCAAGCCGCTAAATAATTCCCTTCCCGACGCACTACGTACCTACCCTCGAGCTCCACAGATCGACAAATGTGCCTGGTACGTGTAGAGTGGCTCTTGCTCTATACTCCCATATAAAAATATAGAATACCTAATTACAATCAGTCCTACCGTTCCCACTTCGGCGTGCCTCGAGGTTTGCAAGTTCTCCCCCTTCCCACCACCAAGACAAGACAGACCTACGCACACACAGTGGGAGAATTTGGGAGAGCCTGCGTCACATCGCTTCCAGCCCGTGGTCTGATCGTATGCCTCTACCAGAATCCGACTACGACGTGCCTTGCCCCCCAGCGACCAAGATCTGTGGGACCAGTCCACTTTGGGTTTCCTTTAGCCATCAATTTCCCTATATATACGGGCAATCCTCGTGGAATCCAGGTATATCCGAATATACGTGCTTGGGCTGCGAGATGGGGTGTTTGTTCATTTCATGTTACACCGCAGCGGGACGGGGACAAGTATTAAGCCGTTCGACACAAGTGACATAGGTGTTGCAAATTGATCTCTGCGCTCAAACATCAAGAAAATTACGGACGTCATCCTCATCACTTCAGTTGCCCATATCACGGTTATAATCCTCTGCTAGATTTTCCCTCCCCCGTCGTATTACTTCTGCTATCACTGATATCCAAAAGCGTGAGGCAACATCCAAGCTCAAGGTTGAGAAAAATGACAATGTTCAGTCGACAGTCCTACCAGTGGGTCCCAACTCTGTGCCACAGGCAGCTGCAAGATGTCACGAGGACCTGCCCCTCAAGTGGCCCCTTTTTTCTTGGCCCTCTGATCTCATTTCGAAATCCAGCAACGAGAACCATCTCGACGCACCGTACCACGCCTCGGCATACGTGCATATCTGCCAGCGCGTTCCTTGCGGCCGAGTAGGGGGCGAAAAGCAAGATTATGCAACCATGGAAACTCCGCTGAGCCAACAAGCCTCGTCTGCCGACTTGCTAGGATAAACGTCGGCCGACAGACCAGCCAGGGGTTCTACCCCGGATTTTAGCTGGCGTTAGCCTACCTAAAGCTAGGGGCCTCCCCCGAGTTACAACGCAGAGTTTTAGGGCGGCAGTTATATGTCCGCCGGTCTAGACTATCTAGGCAGACTAGACTATGCCGGATGATGCTGTTGTCATTCTCGAGCTCAACCGGCATCAAGCGAAGGGAAACATAGGAAGTGTCAACGACGGATGGCAAGCTGCTTTTTGCTCCTTCATCAGGCCTATCCGGGAGCCAAGGAACCTTAAGACTAGAGCGCGGTTCACTTGAAACCGGTGGTCCCTCTAGTTACGTAAATGGCATGGCAGCGAGATCGGCCAGCTTATGGTCTGACGTTTTGACGTTGACGTCGGGTTCTCACTAGCAGGGCATGGGCCAACTTGCGACTGGCATATCACTAAGCCAGCCAACCGGTGAGTGTAGATACGGCCATTCGTTTATTGTTAATTGAGAGCAGAGAGGCTGCACGGCGACGATCTTTCTTTATTGGTAGCCTGCGTGCATGAAGAACGACTATCCAGCCGATGTGACCCTAACCAACCCCAAATCCTACCCTAATCTGCTAGTATGACGGGATGGAGTGTCCTGTTGACCGAAAACGTGCTTGGGTTTTTGTTAGAGGAATGGCATGTGGTATGAAAAAAATTGGGGTTGAAGGTGGCGACTGCAGGATCACTTCTGGGTAAGTTCCAGACCGTCTCCTACTCTCACCGGTGATTGCCCTGTAGCAGTTCGTGGCGCTCATGGCAGCGTGCCCGGGAGACTAAGGTAGTTCACCTCCGCATGCCGGTCAAGATGTCCAATTACAGTTCCAAACGTTTCGGGTTGTCCGCTCGGTATTCGTACACCATATCCAGTACAACAGCCGATTTTAACCTTCCCGAGGCGAAGCTGTCAAACGCTGTTTTCTTTTTTACTCTCTATGCTTCGGCTTTTTTTTATGCGGTATTGGCCTCGCGCTTCTGGGCCTTAAGCTTCTCTTCGAACTTGGCGAATTCCTCAATGGCAATCTCCTCCTCTGGGTCAGTGACCTGATGGACGCTCTCGACCTCCTCAATCTTCAGAATGGTTAGTATACGAAGTGCATGATTTTCGTCCGCAAGAGCAGGACCAGGAGTTAAGAGAGAGAGAGAGAGAGAGAGAGAGAGAGAGGAAAGGTCGGGTTTGGGTTAAAGAAGGCAACTCACATAATGCTTCAACATGCTTTCAATTCCATTCTTCAGAGTGACGGTGCTCGAGTCGCAAGTGCGACAAGCCCCGCGCAACTTGAGCATGACCTGGCCGTTCTGAAACCCGCGGAACTCAATGTCGCCGCCATCCTCCTGGATCGCGGGTCGTATCCTCGTCTCCAGAAGCTCCTTGATCATGCCCACCACCTCGCTGTCGTTCTCGTCGTACGCCAAGCTGTCCACCTCCTCGATGCCCTCGCCCGCTCCCGCCTCGTCGCCTTCCTTGCGCTCGACCACGTTCACGATGGGCTGCCCGGACGTGATCGCCTCGGTAATGAGCGCGAAGATCTCGGGGCGCACGTGTGCCCACTGGACGTCGGCGGCCTTGGTGACGGTGATGAAGTCGGTGCCGTAGAAGACGGAGGTTACGCCGTCGACGGCCATCAGCTGCGAGGCGAGCTGAGACCGGTATGGCGGGGAAATAGTGTCGCGTGGCGAGAGGTATTCGATGAAGGGAGTCGAGATGCCTTCGGGAAGCACGCGGTGGTTCGGCAGGAACTTCAGCGCATCCGGGTTGGGCGTGGACTCGGTCTGGATGAAGATGCTGCGGGATTGCGTCTTTTGCGGATGGGAGAACCGGCTGAGGCGCTGGCTAAGACTTGGCCGTGGTACGCCCGCGGCGCTCAGCGGTTTCTTGTTTGTCGCGAAGGGGCGGAGAGTGGTGGACGGGCATAAAATCTGCGCCCTCGTCGAGAGACGGGGTCGGGAAGTCCTTGTCAATGACCCGACTAGGCGGGATGCTCTCGAAGACGACATGGTTCAAAGGTTCAAAGGCACCTTTAATGCTCGAAGTTAACGGTCTGTAAATATTAGTTCGTTCTCGAGTAGTTATAGCGCGTGAAGTTGATGTGTGAGGATTTGAACGTGGCGAGTTGTATGTACGAAGTGTTACTTTAGGTGTTGAAAGATTTCTGGCTCGTGCTCGCAAATCGCACGCATTACCAATCCATCCATTGGCCCTCGGGAATGACGCAAAGTCGGATTCAAGTACCGCAGTAAATCCGATTTGCCGACCGTTTCGTTGGACCACACTGGTGCTGCTGCTGGTCCACTCCACTACACGTGTATTAACGGCCCCGGGCACAGTGTTCTGGACTGTGTCTTACGGTATGAGCTCCAGGGACGTGGGGGGAGCTTTGGCTCTGTTTTTCTTCTCCCCCGAGAACGACCGACTTTTTCTTTAGCACTTGAAACGAATAATTATCCGTTCCTCTTCCAGCCATGCATACCTCTAATCCGCTTTAACATCTTATCCCGCTGGCATCATGTCGGTATCTGAAAACGAATTGACCGTCCCTGACAACCAGACGATGTCCTCAATGCCAACAACAACAACAACAACAACAACAACAACAACAAGTCCACTGGCCAATGGGACTGGACAGGATGTCAGCATGACCTCTGGAACAGCAAATAACGCCATGACTGCTGGAACCATTGACGGGTGCTGTAAAGGCGAAACCACGAACGCGCCGGCGAAGGAGGCGAGTGGGAAAGACGACGGCGAGCAGCCGCGAGCTACATCTTCGAAAACGAAGCTCTGCGGCGTCTGCAACGAAACTCCAGGGAAGTACAAGTGTCCGCGATGCGGATTGCCATTGTAAGTTCAGAGTGGCGTGTCTGCGTCTCTCATTATCATTAAACCCGTTAAACCTCATACCATGCATGCAAGCCTAATGTCAAGATCCGTCGTCTAATCTTGCCCATGAATCTCCAGCTGCTCTGTCGCTTGTAATAAAACCCACCGTGAGAACCACCCGCCGGATCCCGAACCCGAGTCGAAACCATCTGACGCCGGTCCTTCCCCTCAACCTGTCGCCATGACTGAAGGTCCGTCATCTTCGCACCAGCCCGACAACCCCTTCAGCGTTCTCGATGACTCGGAGCAGCTGCGTTACCTCTTCCGCCGATACCCAAACCTCCCCCAACAATTGCTAGCCATCAGTGCCGCCACAGAGCCGCCAGCCGAGGCTCAACCGACCTCTCTTAAGGAGGCCATTCTTGCCAAGGCGGCGGCCGCCGGAAAACCAAACCAGGCACAGTGGAACCACGATGTCGGGATTCGGAAAGGGAAGGAGGCATTAAGGAGGGCCCGAAAGGCCGAGGGAGATGCCGGCGAGGGCGTGAGGGAGTTCTCCGAACTCATAATCCATCTCACATCCCAGGGTGCGCGGAGCGAGGAGACCGGCTCTCTGTTGCGGAGTCGGGCGGCTCAACGAGATGCAGACCTGATCAAACGGTTGTTGGAAGAAGAAGGTCGTCGCTGAAGTGATACGAAAAGTAACCGCTGAATCGCTTTCTTACTGTTGACCGGAAGGGGGAGAAAAGGGAACAAATAAACGAGGAGTGCAATTCAGGCAGGATCTGCATATGCGCTTCGCAAAACGACACGAGAATTGAGGGATGGCGTTCGTTCCAAAAGAAGGCCCGATGGTCGACAATGTGTGTTCAATGACTGGGCCTCAAACGGGCGAAGAAGCCGATTTTGGGTGACTTGATGGACGCTTCGGGAAGCCCCGAATTGTCATCCCGTGTCTGCGTCGTGGTCTTGTCTTCGCGGCCGTGCTTCGTCAGGCTCCCCAAGCGACCCCTTAGGGTCCAGAGGGAATCGGACTTTCGGAGTTTGGATTTGAGTTTCCCTTGCCCGGTCTCATCGCTTTGAGTCCAGTCGACTCGGTGCGCGTTGATCTCATGAAGCGGTACGAAGTCTGAATCGGCGGTTTCATGCGAGTGACGGCCTTCCCCAGGGTCGCCTGTGCTCAGCCTCTTCACCGCGTCTTCGGAACGGCGCCCTGCGGGCAAATGAGCCTCCCACCCTTGCTTCGGTCGTTCCCTCCGGCGGTTCTCTCGCTCCTCGTCCGCCGCGGCCGCAGCTTCGAGGATGCGGTCGTTTTGGAACTGGTTTCGCTTGTACACTTTCCCGCGCTGGCTCTGCGCCTTCCGTAGCGCTGTGTGCTGGTCAGCCGGCGCGGTTTTCTGGTCGGCAGACGATGCCGCGGCGTTGGGACCTCCGAGGTGAAATTTGAGGGCTTTCTGGGACAGCCTGTGGACGGTGCGCGGGCTCGTCATGTTGTCGGCCGTCGTGGTTGTCGCGAATTGCAAAGCTGCCACCTGCGGGACATAGTGTGGCGGCTTGCCGTCTTGGGTTTCGGCATTCTGGTCAAACTTGTTCGAGTGAGAATGGCGATTGTGTCTTTCTCCCGAAGCAGCCTTTTCGTCCCTGCGAGACCCACTGGTCGAGGTTTCCGTCAGGGATGGGACGCTCGCTCTCCTCCCAGCTCCGGCTCGTGTTCTCTTCTTCTGCTCGGCCCGCGCATTCTGCTCGGCGAGGACGAGACGCAGTCTTCGCGACAGGTCTTCTGGGTCGACTGGCATGGATTGGCTGTTGTGACGTGGGCGTTGCTTGGGCCACGTAACGGCTCTGGCGGGAGGCTTGGTCATGGCATGGTCATGCCGGTACCCGACGTTGTATAACATGGGCGAGAAGGGGTAATGGTGGTTATAAGGTATGCTGTTGAGAGCACAACTCCCGGCCACGTTTCGAGCTAGCCGCGGAGAAACCAAGTCAACCGAAAACTAGATTGACTAGATCTTGGCGGTGTGGGTTTAGACTTGTAGAAAAGGGAACCCGTTAGAGATAAGGGATTTCCTGTCGAATAGATTGGTGTCTAGAACAGTGTGAGCAGACGATTCGAGAGAGCCAGACTAGAGTCGTCTTTCTCGATTTTGCTGTCCGTGGCTTTGAATATGAATTATAGTACAGCAAGCCCGAGGAAGGCCCCAACCAAATATCAAATTGACGAGCGTCGCCTTGGATCTCGGTCAGATCAAGGTCATGAGCCACTCGTACGATGGTGTATGTACGAAGCCCCTAAGGTGAGTGGACCTCGGTGGACCCCCAAAATTCAAACGCCTCTGGGACTGAGGAGCAGAAACGAACGTGGGTAAGAGCGGATGATAAGAAGAACCAGAGAACACTGGGTGCTTGTAGGTGGATGTGGTGGACGACTTGGCGGTATTAACCAGAGAAACCAGAGGGTACGGTCGTGGCGAGAAGAAGCGGTCTCAGAAGCTGGTGAGGGAGACGTCGTGAGTAGGCATTGTCTTTAAACAAAGAAAGAAACAAGAAAGAAAAAAACACAAAGCGCCAACCAACTTGGAATTAAGCTTCGAGTTCTCTTTGTGTGGGTGCAAGGGGGGGAGGGGGCGATGGACATGGTGAGCCGAAGGAGTCAGGGGACCATTGGGGACCATTGCTCGCGTGCCGCTACATAACCCACCCTTAGCATATGCCTACACTAGTACAGGAGGCTATTGCCCCGAGGGAAATGGTCACCCCACACGTAGAGGTAATGTACCTTAGGCATGTAATTACATACAACGTACGGAGTGCTTCGTCCGTTATACAACGACAATTATTAAGGTACCTAAGGCCCCGTTCGCGAAAGCTTATAAGATAGGAAATCCTCCTATCGTGGCGGAAAAATGCATAACTCATAGCCCACCGATAGTATCAGGACCCCTTTTATATAATATTTTCAGTGTAACTGTATTTTTTATGCATCCCTCTATTATCCCCCTATTATCGAAGTACCACGCTAGGCAGGGGGCCACGGTAGGAGGAAAACTTATAAGATAGGAGGATTTACACGTAATCTTTTATTAGCACCTAAAAGGTGCTAATAACGTAAAAAACTTATAAGATAGGCTCCGTAGTTAGCCGCGCGGTGGCTAATAAGGCTAACGTTAAAGCTATTCCTAATAACGACGACGAAGCTATACTAGAACTCGATATAGTAGTACTAGTATTAATCCTTTATTGAATTTAAGTTATTTAGTAGTAAAAGAGGCGTAGAAATACCTCTTTATAATAGTATAGTAACGGTCCTACTCTCACGTTAGGTATAACGAGCGGGTTATTAATCGGGTCCAAAAAAGTATTCTAAGACCTATTCAGACTTAGTTAGCGCGAATTTTATCATCTAATAGATTAGGTAATATTAAACGGCATAATCAGAGAGACTAAATACTATATAATTTCGTAGAAGGTTATACTCTTCCTGTATATTATCGGTTATAGCGTATCCCTATATACTATATACCACCGGTTTAAGATATCCTTAAGTACAGGATCGGGTATCTTTAATAAGGTCCTAGATACGATACGTTAGCTTTATATCGAATACGTTAAAAGCCCTCTATTAGGATACGTATCGCGATATATTAAACTATCGCGATATAATAAGTAATTTAATAGTTATATCGGAGTAATCGACGGCACGTATATCGCTACGTCGGTGCCACCTAGGTCGTAGCGGCGGTTCTATAATCGGAAAGGATAACTTACTTAGAATATCCTCGCGGTAGTCGATTTTAACCTCTACTTTACGTATATCCTAGCTAATACCGAGGGTAGTATAAACGACTCTTCGTTACTTCGCGAGGCACTTACTAAAAGGTCTTTTCACGTACCTAACGGGCGGTTCTACCTCGTAGATAGTAGGTTTAGTAGTAATATCCGAGGTATTATAACCCCGTTTAACGGCGAGAGGTACCACCTTTAAGATTTCTCTAAAATAGAATAGAGGCAGTTATTCTTAAAGGAGCGGTTTAATCGCCTCCACGCTAGGCACTATAGTGCCGTTAAACGCGTTTTTAGGATTTTAAAGAGGTCTTTCCAGATTATTAAAGGTAAAGCACCTAAATATAGCCTCGAAAAGCAGGTAGAGATCGTGTACGCTATAACTAGTATCTGGAATTTTATTAGGGGTATACGTAGTAATATACTAGTATCAGATTCGCCGTTAATATCCTCTAGACTTATAGAAGAAGAAGAGGAGCAGCTATTACGGCTAGCCGTAGAGCGTGCCGACCGTAATATCGGTGAAAAGGGCGGATTAGAGACACGATACTAGATATCTAAGATAATAGAATAGTAGTAGTAGTTATATAGAAAAGAGGTTATTATTAAAGTGAAGGAACGATATCGATATATTTATTAAGTACTATATAGACTACTACGGCGGAAGGAGCAGAGCTATACCCCTTACTAGTCCGTTTTAGGTAGACAGTAAATATTACTAGCTAATAAAATCCATAGAAAATAAGACTAATCCGAATCCAGATCCACCTTAGCCTTACGCCTACTACCCTTACTCTTACCACTATCACTACTATTACCACCTCTCCTAATAACCTTTTCTTTTATTAAACTATACTTTTTTAATAGTGCTCTTTTCGTATTCTTTTAAACGCTATCAAATAGCGTTATTATGTTAGGATTTTCTATTAGGAACTCCCTAGCTATAATAACGCCGTTAACGCTGCCTAATTCCTCCAGAAACTCGCTCTTATATATAGTAACGGCCTTACCGTAATTCTCTACGTTTTAACGTGCCGATAACGTAACTAACCCTGCTAAAAGCGGGTTAATAGGTGAGTCTTCCTTCTTACGATAGCGCCGTAAAGGTAATGCGTTATTAAGTAGATCGTTATAAGGAATAGGCGTCGCCCGTAAGGAATTAGCACCACTACTATCAGGATTCTATTACTAACTAGGCCGAAGGCGCTTAGTAGGCGGCGTTAATACTATCTATTATTAACGCTTACGTTATTAACGCTTACGTTATTAATCTAACTCGTGAACGTCGGCAATATTCTAGCTAGTAGCGATAGTATTAGGCTATATAAGCTTTAATAGACTATTAATCTATCATAGGCCTCCGCGTTTTCGAATACGCTTACCGACGTCGCCGAATTTAGCTTCGAATATATCCTACTACTCGTTGCTCACGTTAATTATACCGCTTTTATTGTTATAGTTATTAACGCCACTCTTCCTAATAATCGTAAGGGCCGCACGCAGGTCTCTTTCTATACGTTCGAGCTTTACGATTATCGCCTTAACTAACAGGTTAGCCGTAGGGTATACCTCTTATATACTAGGTAAGAGCTCTATTAGGATAGCCTGCTTCGCTGACTTCTTATTACTTATCGCGAATAGGGCGTTATCGCGACGAGCTATAACTAGGCGTATAAGAAGATCGCGTTCGATATAATCCTTCTAATACACACGCGTTAACTTCTTTTTAGATAAGGAAGTATTAGCCTAGGTATTCGAAAGGCTTTAAGAGGTAGGATTTTAATTATTTACGCCGTCTTCGGATACCTTATCGTTGCTAAAGATATTATCTTCTATAGTATTCTATATTAGCTACGTATCCTGCGTTCGCTACGTATCCTGCGTTAGCTATAAGGGCGATATATCGATATTCCACGGATCCGGTATACTATTAAGGGAGCTCTCTATAATCTATTCCACACTAATATAACCTAGGGTCGATATAGCGATAAAAATAGTAGTCGTTCTAATATTCAATTACAGCAAAATAAGCGTATTTTTTTATCTAAGTGACTACACCCCGTATTCTACGGATTCAGATCGATATTCCTCCGAGGGATAATTTATTTTTTGCATAAAGAGATATATTAAGGGCACGGACTAGAGTCGAGATAGCGCCTTAGCTCTATTTATAACTTTTATAAAAACCTCCTAAAAAAGCTCCTATCTTATGAGCTTTCGCGAACGGGGCCTAAGGTACCCTAGGTTACGTAGGTACTCCCGTACACCTGTTGTCGACCTCAGGAACCAGTGCATTGGGTATGGTCCATGGGCACAACCAGGGCGATCATAGGACTTTACATTCGTCATAACTAGCAGATTACTCTCCCGTCTCCATGCCGCTAGAGGCATGCTATGAGCTAATGGGAAGATATGCCAAGCTTTATTCCTGGATGGCATAAACTACAATGTAACAAGGACAAAAATGGACACGAAAAGGGAAGACGTTGCTGGGCTTCGCGCACCCCAACCTTTCAGGTGGAAAATCCCATTCGCGGCCGCAGCCCCGGACGAACCCCATGCGGGGGGATCTTTCCCTCCTTGGCCTCACCACGTGACTCCGTACATAGGTACCTACATTATTAGCGACTCCATAAAGGTAATTAGTGAAGACTCCATAATAGTGAATGTGCGAAGTCGGAACCGGTGCGGGGCAGCAAGCACCCGGGCCCGGTTCACAGACCACCTGCTAAAATCAAGTGGTACAACGTACAGAGCTCTTGTTTTCCTCATTCCTTTCAAGCCACGCAATGAAACAAATGGCTTGCATGTGGTGGGAGTTGTGCCTCGTTGAGGTTCCCAGACTTTTCCCGACTTTGTCCGGCGTCGCGAAGCCGCCAACTATCTTATCCAACCGTTGTCAACGGCCGGGTACCGAGAGGATGGGTATAAACAATATGCGCCAGAGTTTTCGTTTCGGTCTGTTGCACCGCACCGGCTCGGATGTAACATTGGTACGGTCTTGATGTCCTGTTTTGGTCAAGTGCCGGTTGGGTTAGGGGGGAAAGCCCGTCATCGAGTCTTTCTGGCTAAGAACATGAAATCTAAGGTAATCTGTGGGTGAGGTAAGAAGTACCAGAGAGGTCACCTGGCGTCGTTGACACTTCTTTCGGAATCACGCCATGGTTTCTCTGTCATCGCAGCTAGCTCAGAAACGACAAGACGACGCCGCTACGAAGTATTAGGTAACTTCTTGTCTCGGGGATAAACTGCGCAATCTTCAAATACCGCATTAGGTGCTGCGGCCAAGGCCAGTGTCCCTTTTCGGATGTGCGGTGTGACTGGCGTAACTAGATATGGCTGCGGAGTATTCGTACACCACAAGCGTATGGGGGACCTTGTGACTCTCGAGTCTCGGCTACAGTAATAGCTTAGACGACGTTTGTGGCGCGTTGAGCCTACTATCGACTGACGGTGCCCAGGAACCTCATTCGTTCAGAACGCTCAACCGCCACGGAGACGGATTCCGTGTCATGTGCCCGGCGAGGGGAATGCACTTCCCCACGATGATGTGGCTCACTATCGAGCATCAAATCTGATATACACTTGTACACTAAACTACCCAGATTCATGTATGTTTCTAATCTTTCCCCTTCATTGGGTGCATTCGCCCACATCAGTGTCTCTCAGCCACTGGCATGTGGTAGTGCGGAACGAGACGGCCAACCAAAGCCTCCAATATCGCTGACCACCTCAGAAGGTAGTCAAATGACTTGAGCCATTCGGATGCTCAGTGGTCCCTTTCGCACAGAGTAGGGGTTGGGAACGATCAGCGGAAACGCGACGAAACAACTCAAAACTCTGGGCGAATGAGAATTGTCGCGTTTCCTCTGTCGCAAACCGACCAAAGGTATTGACTATATGACCTGTCCGTTCATTAAAGACGAGGGAGAAGAGAGAGAAGGGGCAATTGCGCCGTTGGGAACTCCGCCTGTGAGGTTAGTTTGGTTTGCGCTCGTACGGGAGCTTCAATACGTATATTTTACATATGAATGGCTTGGTAAGCTAAAAGGAAACCCCCTTTATCATAACAATTTTGTGGCTACATACCCAGCTTATACCTACCAATATATGTTGAAATGTAAGGTATTCTACGGTCTGAGTATTTGAACCTACAAATCCCATGTTTATCAAGTTTTACATGGAGGGGTAGGGAGCCAGTATGCCGTCCTATCATATCAGAACAGGTAATTACCTGCATCGTCTTCCTTGGACGCGGAAATAAGACGCGTCCAAGTGCAGGCGTGGGTTACACGCATGTCGAATATGTCGCCGACGACCAGTCATTCTTAACCGCCAGCACACACTCCTGCTTGACATGCCTGTTTTGAGGAAACAAAGGCTACTTCGACCAACAATCTCTTTCACAGTGTTCGATCCAACCTACTTCGCGGCCGGCCTTGACCTCGATAACATCCTTCGAACTCCCGACATTCCCCTTTATTCGCCATGAACAAGGAATTCTTCAAGCCTCGAACCAAGAACAAGAGGAGACTCGACATGACGCTCGATGTTGATCCGCTCCCTCGAAAGAAGCCCGGCTGGGCCGGACCGGCGCTCGCTAACCTGAAGTGGGGTGACTCGAGAAGGTATGACAATAATTGCCTGCCCGCATATCAGCTGCTAACGCGAGGTGTTCCCCTATCAACCCAACAGCAGCCGACGCCCAGGCCTCTATGCCCGTCGTTCCTCAGAGAATTGGTTGACACTATCGATCCGTATCCTTGTCCCAGCTCTGCCTATGTTCTTGTTGCTGACTTGCTCGAGATAGTTGGGTTACAGGGGGAGACACGTTGTGTACCTGGTATCGGGTAGCCAACTCCAACAGGCAGACGACCGCTCCGTTTCAAGACGCGTCACGAGGTCGGCACCGGCTGAGATGTGTTATCCACGAGGTGCCGATCGATTTGGGCTACCGCCTACGCCGACTTCGTCGGCATCTCGTTTGTACCGAGGAACTGTCACTGCATCCTTTGCGCAGTCGAATATCACTAACTCTGGCCGGTCGTCCGCGAAGAGCCTGGTTGAGGACCTGTTATACCCAAGTCTAAATCTTGCTCTGAGCGGTATTTATTTTCGCCGCAATGATGAAGAATTACCTGGCGACATTGCTAACCTTGTTCATGAAGTCAGCAAGGATCGAGCCTCCCTGGGCCCGCCACTGGATTAGGTACGGCACGACGTAGATTTGCATTAACTGGAGATGGAGGCCGACGAAGCGGACGTGGCAAAGTATTTCCATAGCGCCACTTACCCTAATCCCAGGTCCACAGAGAGCCTGAAACGGTGCGATAGACAGCCGTGTCTACCTAGGTAGGTAGGCAGGCTGTTCCTGCTTATGGATCAACGCCTAGCATCAGCAATCCGACACCCGATATCATCTATGGATACTGGTGTAAGGCATTTCCTGAACAACAGCCCCAACCTACATAACGTATATCTTTGGGAACTGAAATCTCAGTCCATAACCGAGGGCTACTCTGCCCATTCCTCGCTATCGAATTCAAGGGCGATGGTCCTGGTGGAAGTTGCAGTCCCTGGGCGGCCATAAATCACTGCGTCGGCGGCTCTGCGTGCCGAGTTAATATTGCCGAACGGCTTAATCGCCAGCTCCGGAATTGTAAGGGTGATAAAGAATTCCCTAGTAACAGTGCCGCATTTAGTGTCGCCATGGGCGGCACTGAGGCCCGGCTCTTTATTTCTTGGAAGCATAATGATATTGATATGTACATGCGAAGGTTAGGGGCTTTTTACTTCAGGATCCTGATCACTATGTCCAGTTCCGCACGTATGTCCGGAATATTATCGACTGGGGGGGAAGGATAAGCGGCTGAATGAGACTCGGGCGTCCCTGGATGCTCTCCTCGAAGAAAACGGAAAGAGAGATTCTGAGACGGTACAGTCCTGCCCTTACTTGTATGAATAATGGGATGAGAGAAGCCGTCGGTTCTTTGATAGGAATAGCGATGGTTCGAACACTTCACTCGGAACACCTCTCTCACTACTTCGTCCATACGCCTCCCGCAGAGTTGAACACAATACACCAGGTAGATGGATATTGTCATGGCACGACCAGTGTCTTAGATTTTGACGCTGGACCTCTTACTGGTACGGCCGCTTTTGAAGGATCGGATCACCAAGTCCAGAGTTCCTCTTTGGCTGTGGCACGGTTGCAGAGATTATTTTTTGATTGGGCCATCTCAGTATGCAAAGTCAGGCAGCAGTAGTTCTAGAGCACGAATACCAAGGGCTGATTTGTCAATCAGCCATGCTATTTGGTCGCATACTGTAACCGCCTGCAGTTATGAGGCACAAAACCACCGAGCTGGACTCCGCGTCTTCTGTTCTCTAGCACCGCCTGGATATTAGACGTTAGGCGAATCGTCTCAATATCCGAGAAAAGCAGAAAAATTCTTTCCTAGCAAGGGACACACTATCAAGGGCAATCAACAATATTTTAGGCATGGGGATGTGATCTTTCTCCTGGTAGGCATTACTACGTTAAGGCGTGATGGATGCAGCCTCCGTACAACGTATCACCAGTAATTAGTCCGTGCTTCATAATCCGGCTTATTTGATCCCTCCACGTGCCAATACACGTCTGGGAGAGAGCTGGGAGGAGACGATGTGCGGTTCTTGATTCTCGGGACCTCCCTAACAGGCCCGACCACTGGATGTCCATTAAATACCCAGGTACATACATTATGTTGTAGTGGTTACTCCGTAGCGCTAGGAGCTAAGGTACCTGCCCCTACCGGCTTGCCTGAAATCTACCAACCTAAGGTACCTAAGGTAGGTAGGCCGCCAATCGCAAGTAAAGGTACCTAGTAGTGCTATAGAAGGTACCTTAGGTATCCGTAGGTACTTTCTCGTTCGTACGTGGAACGTGCACAAGGTAAGGGTAGCAGCGAAGGCACCTTCCATGCTCTTTCTCTTCAACGCTTATCCATTTTAGCCCGGACTCTCTGCCTTTTTTTACCTACCTTTACAGACTATCCGTACTTACCTTTATAATCGATATTTGGCGACTGGTCGCATATCAGCATCTACTTGGTGCGGATCTGTGTAATTTCTTATTCAGAGAACAGACCATCATTCCCTGGACGGCGCCGCGCGGCCCGCCACGCCGTTTCTCGAACGAACGGCAGGCTACACCTTAATTAGGCCCCCTAGCCCAAGACAATTTCGAGCGGCCGGGTCCCTAGTCCTAGAACACGGTGCGCACAACCCAGCACATGCGTCAAAACGCGCTGGCCACCTGACTTGATCGAGGGTCATTGGCTTGAAGATACCACGGTCACCTCCTCTGGTCCACTATCAACTATCAACTACCTAACCTATCGACAGCCACCGACACCTACCTCCCTGCTGGGCTCCTCGACGGACAGCAGATAGTATAGTGGCACTACCTGGCTTTCCCTCACCGTCATTTCTCAACCGCGTACGTCCCTTGGAGTTCTCGCTACAGGATGTGCTGAGGTGGAACCCCTTGACGACAGCAACACCCCACACCCTGATTCCCGCCGTAAGGGGCTCTCACAGTGCTCCCTCCTTGCACCCCAAGCCAAGGCAGAAGCAAGGAGGTAAGGCAATCATTATAAGGTACGCCGTCATACACTCCCCCATTGTGTGGTTGTTTGCCCAGCCTGCGGACCCGGTAGATCGGCTCGCACTTGAGGCTCTTGCGTTTAGTCAGACGAATCCACCGTTCTAGGTCCTTCGTTCTGAACTTGCATCTCGGGCCCGGCTGCTTTCTCTCGTGCTCATCCTCCCCGCCGCCGTTGTTTTTATTTCTGCACCCTGGCGACGCTGGGCTGTTGGCCATGGCCTCTCATCGTCGTGGAGCTCCTCAGACTCACCGGAGTTCAGAACCCTCCGTCCCTCCCCCGCGTTCCTCCTCCCACCCGGATCATCGCGAAGCAGCCCACCGCTCCGCCCCAGTTGCATCGCCCTCCCGTTATACCGGCCTCGAATGCATTATTCCTAGCCCGCTAGACCACGCCGATTTCGCCACCGAAGCTCCCGATAACTACCGTGACTCCTTTATCTCCATCGTCGATGACCCTTTCTTCCGACGCTTCGACGATCCCACTGGCCACGGTCCCGCCGACGACGAGGCCGACTTCAACCTAGACTCACCGAACGACCTATCGCCACGGCATGAAGATACTAATGACCAACATTGGAACCCTACTCGCAGAGAATCCCTCATCATTGGACAATCCTTCCATTGGGTATGTCCCGCCGACTTGCGATGCTGTACCGTCTGTTGTGGTCAAAGGAGGGAGGGTGGCTGCACAACAGAAGCTGACAATGTGCTTGCTCAACGACAGAACCCGGACGACATGGAAATCTTGAACATAGCGTGCGTTCTTCCCAACTCGCTGGCCCTCCTTTTCACCCTCCAATACCCATTTGAAGCCCGCCGTAGACTTTAATTGGAACACTGTATGACTGATTCCCGACTTCGCGCCACAGGCTCATCGGTGCCACGGGGGTGGGCAAGTCGTCCTTTATCCAGCGGGTGCTGGGTTTGTCGCGACCGCCCATCACAAATGCGTCGAGTGTCCGCTTGGCTGTGGATAACACTACTTTCGGCGTGACCCTATTGGAGCTTGACCTTGAATATTTTGACATGAGTCCGTCCCACCCGATTCAATGGCCGAAACAGATCAATGGACACATCGTGCCTCGCGTGGACGGTGCTATGATACTCTACGATGTGACCAAGGTGGAGACTATGAAAGAAGTCCCCCAGACCGTTGGTAAATGACCTGTGCCCTGTTCACATCACTTGGCTTGCACGACGCACGCAAACGAGCGTCGCTGACATCAGGTCCCTTAGCTGCCTTGACCAAATCTGGCCTTCCCGCCGTTTTGATTGCCAACAAGTGCGACACTCCCGACAGCGTCCGACAAGTTGATACCCAGCTTGTGGCCAACCACGAATTCTTCAAGGCCTGCGTCGCCACCTACAACCTCTCATCCGACTCTGTCGAGAAAGCACGCGCCTGCTTGCATGCGATTGTTCGAGCCTCTGTTGCGAATCGCAGGGGTAGGTCAAGTCCACGTCCTGAGGCATGCCAAGCGACTGCTGACAGAGCCTTTAGATCCTCAGAATGGCGAGCCAACAGCAGCCCGCCGACGAGCCGCATCAACCGCCCACCTTGAGCCCCCCGACGCCTCCTCAGCCCGACCGCTTAGCCAACACGGCAAGCACAATCGTGCAAGCTCCGAAATATCTGTGTTACGCGGATCTCCGTCAGATCAATACAGACCCTCGGCCAGGAGCCCGAGGTTAGGTGGCTTCAACACGTCTCAACCAAGCTCGTCGGCCCAAGATTCTATAGCTGATGAGTTTCAACCCTCCGTATCAAGCATGCTCCGAACACCTGGCGTACGGCTGGACCGCGCGCCAAGCGATTCCTTCCTAGACATGGACGAGTCGGATGCCGAGTCCCACAGGAATTCGGAGGATATACCCATCTTGCAACGGAATGATGAGTCAATCTCAGACAAGACCGTCAAAACCGCCGGCGTCACTTTTGACGAATTGGTCGACCGGCTTGTGGCTCTGAAGATGTCCAGGGCAGACAACAACTTCCAAGAGGTCTTTCTCTGCCTCTATCGCAAGTTTGCTGCGCCGTCGGAGCTGTTCGAGGCGATCTTGGCGAGGCTGGACCGAGTGAGGGATGACAGGTCGGTGCACTACCTGACGAAAACGGCAACTCAACTCCGAATCATCGAGGTCGTGGGTAGGTGGGTGTCGTCATATCCAGGCGATTTTGCACGGCCTGGGACGAGACGGCACTTGGAGGAATTCATCCGGCATCTATCAACAGAGCCCATCTTCTGCATCGCGGCTCGGCAAATCCGGGAGCAACTCGAGCGCAGTGTGACAGAGGATGACGATACTGGCTGGGCCAGATCGGATGACGCGGCCGACGCTATGACGGGGCACCCCCCTTCCAAGGATGCTGTTCCGTCGATAAGGGATGGATCTAACGGCATCAGCAGTCTCTATCTCGAAGATGAGAGGCAGGGGGGAGAAATCAGACCGTCCGGAAGCTCGGACTTCTCCCACATGGACAAGGTCAACAGCTTCGTCGCGTACCATTCATATGAGGAGTATGAAAGAGTGGCAGCGACGTTGGAGCCTACCGACGTGCTGCCGATCAACAAGGTCCGGTATCATATTTTCATGGACATCCCGGAAGACGAGATTGCGGAGGAAATGACCCGGATTGACTGGGTCATGTTCTCGTCCATTCGAGTGCGCGACTTTGTGCGCCACGTCAGCCTATCAATGGACCAGCGAGCGAAGTGCAAGAGTCTGAAGAGCGTCAATCGCATGATCAATCACTTTAACCACATTGCCAAGTGGGCAGCCAACCTGATTCTTCTGCGAGATAAGCCGAGACACCGCGCGCAGATGTTGGAGAAGTTCATGGGCATCGCGACCAAGCTCCGCCGCCTCAACAATTATAATGGGCTTGCAGCCGTGCTGGCGGGTATCACCGGCTCGGCCGTGCATCGGCTGGCGCAAACCTGGGCTCTCGTGCCCTCGGATAAGAAGAAGGCATTTGCCAAACTCGGCATCCTGATGGGAACGCAGAAGAGTCACTTTGCATACAGACTGGCGTGGGAGAATTCACCACTGCCCCGGATTCCGTACATGCCCTTGCACCGGAGAGATCTCGTCACCGCCGAGCAGGGGAGCAAGACATTCGTTGGACCCGAGGGGGACCGGATTAACTGGAAAAAGTTCGAGGTGCTCGGAGAGGTCCTTCTGCCGATCATGAAGAGCCAGAGTATCCCGTATCCTAACTTGACAAAGAGCGAACCAGCTAGGGAGCTCATTTTGGACTGTCGGATACCGACGGATGAAGACGTAAGTGCAATCTTCTTTTCCTTTCTTCTTCTTCTGCTGGCCGTGTGGGAGTCGTAATATTGACAATCAGATTAGGAGATCTATCAGCGAAGCATTCAGGTCGAGAGCACGTCTGGAGGTCCATCGGATCAGGTCAAGAAGAAGTTCCCGTGGTTTGCCAAATAGAAATTAGGAAAACCGGGCTGGTTGTCTTGATAAGTGAGGAAGAAATGGCGCGAATGTGGTATAATGTCTAGTCGCCCAATGGCTTGAGCCGTGCTTTCCATGGGAGGGGCAAGGTGGAACATAACAGTGCGCCTCGTATGACAAGGATGAGCTCCGGGATTTTATTCTATTGGGGTTCCTGGGTGTACAAGGGTCTGGTCTGGTCTGGTCTGGCTTTGGCTTGACTTTGGGGGTGGTTTATTAGGTGCCAGAGCATGATGCCTTTTCTGCTTCTTTTCCGCTCGTTTGCTCATCTCGAAAGATATCCTGCGTAGCAATCTATATTGGGCGTCATAAGCACTGCAAATTATTATATTAATCATCATCATCATCGTCATTGTCATTATTATTGTGTTCTCTGTGAGTGTAAAAGTTCGAAATACGTCGCAGGCTGTCGGGAGCGCAGGGTGATATGTCCGCTTCGTAGGTAGGTATGTACGTTGTACATCCAGGGGTAACAGTAAGGTAGAGTTCTCACCGAGAAGGAGTAAATCGGAAAATTTGATGGGATGATAAGGCGTTGACGTCATTTATGGCCCGTCCACCGTGAGGGGTACGAAGGAATGTACATAGATACTTCGTACTTCTCAATCTTCGACGTTTCACGACAGGCACTTGGAAGAGATGAAATACGAAGTACTGGAGAATTGGGCCCTGACATTCTCTGACTCCGACCAAAAAATTCCTCTATTCTATGCCTTCAACTGGACCATATCTCATATCTGCGATTGAAACCCCTTTGCAATCCAATCTCAAGTCAAGAGCTGAACGGACACTGGCTGCGGATTGTTCGTGGAAGTGACTTCACTCTCTAATAACTGGGGTAAGGTACCCCCCTCGCCACGAAAAGCCGTTGCTCCCATCGTCCTTGGAATAGCTCGCAGCTAATAGCAGGTAAGCTTACCGTTGGTCTAGACCTGGGCCCAATGTTTGCTGATCCCTGAGCTCTGACGCATCCACTTGAAAACGTCCAAGTTCTTTTCCGCGATAAGGACCTGTCGCTATCCTCAAGTCTTTCCAACTCTTCCCCTCTTCCACTCCATTTCCGCCCCCACTCCCTTCGCTTCACTGCTCCTTCGCCATTCGTAAACCCACCGCCTGTTCAGGGCCTTACGAGTAAAGCTTCGACGATGGTAGTCCTCGATGGCTATGAATTCCTAACCGAGGAAGAAAAACGTCTGAAGCAGGACCGAAATCGCGAAAAGTACTGGAAGAAATGGGGCCCTTACGTCGCCGAGAGGCAATGGGCAACAGGTGAGACAAAAGCTGAACCGATTGTATGTTTAATATTTAGAATTCACTGACCTTGAGTCACTATCATAGTGCGGGAAGACTATAGTGCCGACGGCGACGCCTGGAGCTGTGAGTATCTCGTCCGAGTCACGGTTCAAGGCCAGTCCTAACTGACACTGCCCCCCTTCGAAGACTTCAATCATGATCACGCCAGGTCTCGAGCCTACAGATGGGGTGAAGATGGAATTGCAGGTGTGTCAGACACACACGGCTTCCAGAATATTGCCTTCGCATTTTGGAACGAACGAGAGTAAGTGAAGTGCAGTCAGCCTGCTTTCTGTCAATGTTACGGCGCTTACAGATCTCTCAGCGATTTCTTGAAGGAGCGTCTCTTCGGACTCTCAAACCCCCAGGGCAACCACGGAGAGAGTGTAAAAGAGACCCATTTCCATCTGGACAACACTCCTGTAAGTGCGACACAATTCTCCCTATCTATCTCCCCTGGCGTCGTCACACACGGCCACTAACTGCCCGCCTAGACAGTAAGTTCCTCAGCCTCAGTCGACGAGGATACATAGCTCACTGGCGCAGCACTCCTACATGAAGTTCCTTTACAAGTACCCTCAGGGGAAGTTCCCTTACGAAGACCTGGTCGAAGAGAACGCCCGAAGAGGAAAGGAGGACCGGGAATACCAGATTATCGACACTGGTATCTTCGACGAGAACCGATATTGGGACATCTTCATCGAAACTGCGAAAGAATCGGACGACCCAGACGAGATGCTCTTCCGAGTTACTGCCTGGAATAGGGGCCCCGACCCAGCACCGATTCATATCATCCCCCACATGTGGTTCAGGAACACGTGGTCCTGGGGTCGCGAGCCGGAGGATAGGAAACCCTCGATCCAGTTGCACGATGAAGGAATACTCAAGTCGACGCACCACTCTCTCGGTGAAAGGTACCTCGCGATGTCTCCTTCCCCAGGCGTTGGGAGTAGTGGCGAGGACGTGTTGCCCGAGATGATCTTCACCGACAACGACACAAATACCCAACTCTTGTATGGTCAGGAAAACAAGACGCCCTACGTCAAGGACGCTTTCCACCGGTACATTGTGAATGGCGAAAAGGAGGCGGCGAGCCCTCGCCAGAAGGGGACCAAAAGTGCCGCATGGTTCAGTTTCAACGAAGACGGAGGTGTGAATCCAGGGGAATGCGCCGTTGTTCGATTCCGGTTCTCAAAAAAGGCAATGGCGTATTTCGACGAGGCCGAGTTCGACGACATCATGGACATGCGACTGGCCGAGGCCGACGATTTCTATTACCGAATCAGCCCACTCCCCATGACGGACGACCTTCGCAACATCCAACGCCAGGCCTTCTCCGGCATGATGTGGACGAAGCAGCACTACCTGTTCATCTGGGACCAGTGGGCCAACGGTGATCCTGCCCAGCCACCCCCTCCTCCCCATAGAAAGGCGATAAGGAACTCGCAGTGGAAACATATGCACTGTGATGATATCCTGTCCATGCCAGATTCTTGGGAGTATCCCTTTTTCGCCGCATGGGATAGCGCTTTCCACTGCATAGTCCTGGCCATGATCGACCCTGATTTTGCGAAGAAGCAGCTTGACCTATTTACTCGGGAGTGGTACTGCCATCCAAATGGACAGCTTCCTGCGTAAGTTCCGATGTCCCCCTCCAACTCCCTCTCGGAATATTCGAACACATTTTGACTGACGGGTTGCCAGATATGAGTGGAATTTTGGCGACGTAAACCCGCCGGTCCACGCTTGGGCGACGTTCCGAGTGTTCAAGATCGAGCGCAAAATGTACGGACGACAGGACCTCGACTTTCTGGAACGGGTCTTCCAAAAGCTCCTCCTTAACTTTACTTGGTGGGTGAATCGCAAAGACGCCGAGGACAAGAATGTCTTCGAAGGGGGCTTCTTGGGCCTCGACAACATTGGCCTCTTCAACAGGTCAGAACCTCTTCCTACCGGGGGCACCTTGGAACAGGCAGACAGCACTGGCTGGATGGCGTTCTTCTGCCTCAGCATGTTGAATATTGCGCTGGAACTTGCCAAGCACAGACGAATATATGAGGATATTGCGTCCAAGTTCTTCGAGCATTTTATCTTTATTAGCGATGCCATGACGTTCCGGACGGGTCAAAAGGACGAGAAATCGCTCTGGAACGACGAAGACGGGTTTTATTACGACGCCATCTCCTGGGGCGGCCCTTGGATTCAGCAGCTCCCCGTCCGTTCCCTCGTGGGCCTCATCCCTCTCTACGCCACCATGACCCTGGAGCCGGAACTCATTAACAAACTGCCGTCGTTCAAAAAACGCGTGGACTGGTTCATTCAGAACCGAAGTGATATGGCGGAGCGAAATATGGCAAGTCTCCAGAAGCGTGGCAAGGGCAACCGGATTCTCCTTTCCATCGTGAGCAAGGATCGGCTGGAGAAAATCTTGAAAAAGATGCTCGACGAAGATGAATTTTTCAGCCAACACGGCGTTCGTTCTCTGTCGAAGTATCACAAGGACAACCCATACAAAATGGAAGTCAACGGACAGACGTTTTCGGTGGGCTATGTCCCGGGAGAGTCGGATAGCGGCCTCTTCGGCGGTAACAGCAACTGGCGAGGGCCGATCTGGCTGTGTGTCAACTTCCTGTTGATTGAGTCCCTGCAGCGCTTCTTCCTCTTTTACGGGCACGATTTCCAGGTCGAATGCCCCACGGGAAGTGGCGACTTCATGCACCTGGGCCATGTTTCCGAGGAGATCCAGCACAGGCTGCAGCATCTGATGGCCCGGAACAAAGATGGCAGACGATGCATCAACGATAAAAATGACTTGCTAGATTTCGATCCCCATTGGAAAGACTACCTTTGGTTCTACGAGTTCTTTGACGGCGACACGGGTCGTGGCCTAGGAGCCACTCATCAATGCGGCTGGACGGGCCTGATTGCCCGTTTGATTCATGACACTGGGTAAGCCAAAGCCCGTTCGTTTGTGCGTTTCGAACGATACTGATCTGACCATCTCCAGGACCAACTGTCGTCTGCCACACACGCCGCGCACCCCGTCGGCCGCCATGGCGCACTATTTCGACGACGTGTTCGCCAGGGGGACAACCCGCCGCGGGTCTGTTACCTCCCCTCGCCACCACATCCGGAGGTCTTCGACCGCGCGTTCCATCGGTGCCCGGAGTGATTTCGACACGGACATCAACGGTGTTGAAAATGGCCGCTCTGCCGCAACAACAAAGGACGCGGAGAAAAATCGCGAAAGGACCGAAGCGGACGAGCGTCTGCATCAATACATCAACGACCAGCTGGAAAAGTTCAAGGAAGACCAGGGTACGGACACATATTCGCATCCGGACGAGTACGAGGCCAATGCTGGTTGATGCCGGACCTTTGGTGCTGGGTAGCCTGATGCTCTCCGTACAACTCTGTGTTTGTGTGTGAGAGATAAAATGTGTGTGTGTGTGTGTGTGTGTGTGTGTGTGTGTGTGTGTGTGTGTGTGTGTGTGTGTGTGTGTATGTGGGCGCGTCATTTCATGTTCATAGAGGAAAATAAAACAAGTTAGAACAGTTAGGACTCTTCAAGAATAGACGAGGAAGACCGCGTCAGTACGGATACCGTTAAATCAACTTCGTTAAGAGTCTGATGTGGGATGTACAGAGTACTTCCAGGTGTCCCAAGGGTTGTTAAGAATTACAGGATGTAGATCACGTGGTTGAGCATGTGCCTCGATTTGAGGTCTCACGTTGACTGGACCCACCTTCCTATGCTTTCTTGACCTTCCGATCGGGCGTTACAATCTGGTCGGGCAACTTTCTTACTTCACACTCTTCCACATAGCCTGCTGCAGACATTCGCCCTGACGCCCAGTCTACCACCCAAGGTTCTTGGGCTGCCGCTAGCATCGATCTGTTCTGTTGACTCAACAGGATTCACAGTTGTATCTGCTATACGGACAAACCCGTTGGCCTCTAATCTCACCCGGATCATTTGCGCAAGCTCACGAGCTCAAAGCTCAAGAGCTTGGCGGTGTCGTGTCGGCCATTTGGCCGCGTTTGAGCCCTTCTTTTCTGCACAAGCCCGGCGGGGTTTCCTACCGTTGTCGACATTCCTGTCGCGCTGCTGGCCTCTTTGGGTTACTTGTGCCTGAAACCTTGTGGATCTTCCTACCCTGATTCCTTGTTCTCGAGTCTTGCAGTGTCTCGCGCGTAACTAACCCTTTGTCGGTTTATGCGTCTCTGTCCTGACTATCACAGTTCTCGATTTGGTCCGTATTGTCATGGTAGACTGTTAGCAGTGTCGACATCATGGGGAGAGAAAAGAAGAAGAGACCGCAGTTATCTACGGTCGCTTCGGCCAAGGAGCGGCACCGGAAAAAAACGAGGCGTGAAACTGGCCGGAGTGCGCCGTCGCCGTCCCAACTTGAGGCCAGAAAAGCCATACCCAAGTCTAGGCATCAGACTTACCTGGAGTTTGTTCAGAATGAAGACTACAAGAAGAAGCCCCTAGACTTTCAGGTAGCCTCCCTGTCGAATCTCTACCCCTCGCTCCCCCTCCGTGGTCCCGGCCTCTCCGTTGACGGTGTTGGATTTAACTGTCTTTACATAGCATACGACCCAACGAGAACCGCCGCCGTTGTTCTTCTTTGTTCCTATCGGCAACCCGGAGCTGACGATGGCATGCAAAGATCTGTCGCGAGAAAGGGGCGCCATGGTCTATATCGTCTCTGTACGCTGCTGCCATTTCTAACAGCCCTGCCCCCGCTGCCCTCGCACATGCACTAATACCGGTCCATCAGAATGCCAGCGGCCCCTCGTCAGATCTCTCACAACAAATGAACCGAGTTGGCTACCATTTCCGGCATCAGATCGTACAAGAAGCCATGCGCTCACTCAACATGACATCTATTCATGATCCAGAGCTTGTAGCCCCCGGTGGTGTGGAGCGCATCCCCCAGTCCCAGAAGGACATCAACGAGCAGGCTGATGCTGCCATACGGGAGCTCTTCCCCAGGATTCCCAACACCGACAGGGGTGAAATCATCAGCCATGCTTTCAGAAAGGTTTGTCTATCCCGCCACCCATCCGAAAAAAACGACATGTATGCATAACGCTCTCGATACAGGGGAAAACATTCAACGGCGAACCGGTTGTTGGGTTGCAGCAGAACCTTTCTCTGTCCCGTCGCGTGCAGCTTGCGGTACTGGCCCACATTCGGCACAACCATACCCGTTATGATGAATTGCTCAGGGAGACTACCTGGGCAAACGCCCGGAAAGCTACGGAGCAACTGTGCCTGGACTACCTCGTCAAGTGGCGGGGCGATGATGAGTCTGGCCGTGATCAATTAGACGAGATCCTGCGGGAAGTGGTGGTGTTGTCTGACGACGAATCCGAAGACGGCGACTCGTTCACCGAGACCGAGTCTGCCCTTTCTGATGACGTTGTGATTCAAGAAGTTAGACCTGTCGCCCCTGTCGCGGCCTCTAATGGCGCGGTTGGGGCTCCCCAGGATGACTACGCCCAACTCGCTGCATCGTCCAGGCTGCAGAACAAGGCCAGAAAGAAGCAAGCCAATGCGGCAAAGCCGGGGAAGTCCAAGAATGCCATGGCCCGAGAGAAGCGGAATTTCAGACGCTATCAAGCAGCATGGGACCAGGCTGTCGACCGACACCGCGCTGCTGACGAACAAGCTCACGAACAAGAGCAGATGGCCACATACCGCAGTACTCCAGCCAGAGGATCAGACAATTACGGATCCTCATCGAAGCCGATGGGTGGCTATACCGTGTTTGCTTCCCCTCGAGAGAACAATACAAGGCCATCCCAGCCTGGAATGGCTCTCCCTCTGCAACCCGCCCCTTGCCATGGGTTTGTCGAAGCGAGACCGCACCCGAATGGCGCGTCGGCTATCCTACGTCCACCGTCCCCCCGCTATGTGCCATCTGACGACAATCGGGTCTCCGGTAAGGTTAATAATGGTGCTGGACGCCTTCCCCTTCCCCACGACTCAGCTCGTTCCGTGCATCCCTTTGCTTCCAGTGGTCCCAACGGCCAGCTTCAGGACATGTTGCATCCCTCCATTGAGCCCATGTCACCTGGTGGACCCCGTTATAGGCTCGGACAACAAAGCCGCCCGGCTGCTGTGCATGATGCTTGGCGTGGGGCATTTCAGCCCGCGGAATTGCTTTCTCGAGATCGAGATGGTGTCGTTGATCGAGGGCACGGGCGTCCGATGTCTATCGATCGAGGTCCAGCCTATGTTGATGTTACCCAGGATAGCAGGACATATGACGCCGCTTGCCATGGATACGACGGCCATAATTCCCCCCCAGTACGTATGGCGAGGCATCATCCCCCGCCAGTACATAACATGTCCACGATGCCACGCGAAGTTGGTAGCCAGCCTTGGCCGTCTGGCGAGGAATCTGTTCACCGGAGGGGCCAAGGTGTCCCATATTCCGGCCCAGTGTCAACTCGTTCGAACCACATGTTTGAGGAGCGCGGCGTTAGCTCGCAATCAGCCATACGTGTCCCATACGACGACAGCAATTTCATTGACCGTCGCTACGTAGGCCACGAGAGAAGCCGTTACGCACCCGGTAGAGCCCAAGCTCCGTTGCCTGCGAGCTCCATGTCCAAGGGATTTGTAACGCTGAGAGAGGCAGCACCCGCGCCGGCAGAACAGGACCTAACCTCGCTCTCCACTGAGGGATTCATCCGGATCAGAGAGGCGCCACCGGTCTGGCATAACCCTGTGCCCTATCATGCCTCTCATATGGACATGCCGCCTCCTGACCGAGCTGGATTGAGCCATGCGGCACGGAGGGTGAGGAGCCCGGATCAACGGATTTTTGTTCAGCGCCATCGGCCGGGTTCAGTCCCTATTGAGCAAAGTCGACGGGAAACAATCGCGTATCGAAATCAGGATCCCACCAGGCCCCCACCCAGGACAGTATACGAAGAATCGTGAGTGATGGACCGGCTCGGGAAGTCAGGATACTCTATCTCATGCCCTGCTGATGACGTGAACAGGTCTAGAGGTTACCGCGTGCATCATCATGATTACCCCGTCCTGCCGAACACCCATGTCAGCAGGCAAGCTGTTTCAGGGGGTCCCTACGCTCGGAGCTACGACTTGCGTAACGCGAGGACCCCTGCCCGGATACCCCCGGATCATGAAATTGTGGTGCTCGACAGTTAATGCAAGCAACGATGTTGCGGATCAGTGTTTTTCTTAACCGCGCTTAGTACATCTGGCACAACAAGAATTGCGGCACATATATACCGACTTGCGAGAAGACGTGATTAAGATGGCGTTGAGGATGAGCCGTAACGACCATGCATTTGTTTTCGAGGACGAGTACTTGCGGCAGCATAGCAATGGAGCAATGGGTGGTCACGTGGACGAACTTGTTGATGATTAGTATCGCCTGGTTTTAATTCCTGCTAGGAAGAGGCGTTGATATAGAAGGGATGGTATACCAAGGACGATACCCCCAGCCCGGAGGAGAGAGTATGAGGATAGGGTGTGACGGGGAGCGACTTCTTTTGGAAGTCCAAAAATCACACCTGCAACGCCATCTGCTTGAAGCGACCAGGCTTAGACAGACCAATACAGAAATACAGAGACATTCAGGTGGTATGATTCGACCGTGTACCACGCAAGGTATATTATCGACTAGGAATGATATATATGGCTTTCCTATACCAAACATGCAAGGGTTGTCTGAAATGTATCGAAATGAATCTGCGCCTGAACTGAACCACCGCAATCTAGAGAGTCCTCCATGGAACAATGCGAGGTGAGAAGCGAGTCTAAAATAGTAAAGTCGAAAACACGGACGCGGATGGCTATCCTTTCCATACCACCCATGCTCCTCCAGCCCTTCATGCAGCTGAACCCCAGACCAAACTCCAGCAATGCGAAGATAATCAAGACAAAGAAGCAAGGTGGAGAGAAGAAGAAAAAAGGAGGGATAGGAAGTCAAAAGCCGTGCAGATAAACATGTGTGAGACTACCTTATGCTTCCGCAGGGGGGGGAGGGGGGGGAAGAAGAAAACGCCACACCAACGCCCGAAAATCCGTCATGCCGCCAACATCTGCCTCCTTTCCGGCTGTTTAATGGAGGATGATTGTGCGTCGACACGTTCGGGGCCTGGTTCTTCGGCGGCTCTCGGTTCTGCGTCGGGGACGACGGGGAGCTCGGGAGCGCGGAGTCGCTGCGGTTCCGCTGCCGCATTCTCCTGGGCAATGCGGGATGCTATGGCGGCCAGCTCGTCTTCCACCTCTTCCTCTTCTTGAACTGAGATGCGACCGTGGAGGAGTTCTTCGATTTCCTGGGTAAAGAAAAGAAGAAGAAAACCGCACAAGTTAGTCAAGGGACCTCAATGGTTATTTTGTTACTTGAATAAAGGAGGAAGAGGTTCAAAAGAGAGGCACCGAGCAAAGGGGGAGGCGGTGGATGGATTGTGTAGTTGACAGGGTCGGTAAAGAAGAGGGGGGGTTGGGCTTGTACGAACTTTCTGGTAGGCGAGAGCCTCGGCGTTCTCCCCCATGAGCTTCTCGACGCCCTCGATGCCGCCCATCTCGGCGTGGATCTCCTTGAGGACGCGGGTGCCCTGTTGGAGACCGAAGACGACGTCCTTCTGGATGAGCGCGAACTCGACGTTGGAGGTGAGCTGCTCGAGCTGGGCCAGCTGGGCGTCGGTCTTGGCGAGGAGGGATTCCTGGTACTTCTTCCGGCGGAGGGCGAGGAGGGCGCGCTGCTTGTCGCCCTGGGCCAGCATCTGCTTGGCGATGGCCGTCTCCTTGTCCGTCAGAACGGTGATGCGGCGCTGGTATTGGTGGAGCTTGTCGCGCTGCAGCTTGAGGTCGAGGATGGCCCTGTTTGTAGCCAGACGGAGAAGGGGGGCGTTGTTAGTTTACATTTGTGTTTCTTACCGTGGTAGCAGCTACGGGCGATACAGAAGAAAAGCGTCTGGGAAGAGATGGGTTTGACTTGCTTATCTTGGGCCGTTACTCTGCTGTTGCTGGACCCCATTATGGGGTGAGCTTGGGTGGGCTTTGCCTGTGATCGACTACACTATGTATAATTCGATGGGCGTCTAATTTTGATAGACGATCCTATAAAAGTGCGACAAACATATGACCGCCGTGAAAAGAGAGATGGGAGGACCCGTGCATGTGGTGAGTCGCGCGGAGACGATTAGGGGGTTGCGGGTTGTCGGCGGTCGCCTGCTGCCCAGATCAAATGGATGATAATTAGTAGGACGGGATGTTTAGGAGAATGATCCCAGGAACTTCGTCATATCTGGTCGAGCAGCTTTGGTGGGGGGGGGTTATCTCGAATGGATAGTGGGGCGACCGGTACCTATGTACGTATCTTCATCACGTACCCGTACCTTAGCTACTCGTGCTTATCGATAAGAGCGACCACTAAGGTACCTAGGTGGAGATGGATGGCAAGAGAACAAGAAAAAAAAAGTGTCTGGATTGTTGGCTGGAGTAAGACTTGGGATGCGAATCTTCCTCGCGCGGTCGACGCAACGACGATGGTGAAAGAATGAGATGATTCTGAATTCCGAGAAAACAATGTCAAAGAGAGAAGAAACGATCAAAGAAATTCCGACCCAATGCACAAACCAACTCGCCCTCGAGCCAGTCTCCGAAACAGTCTGGATCGAGACGTCTATCAGATAGTTCGAAAGCTTCAGGATGAGAAGGACAGCAAAAAGGAATCCGGCAAGAAGCCTTCCAAGCTCAGTGTTTACGAAGTCTTCGATGCTATAAAGCGATCCAATTCGAGCTTCAGCCGACTCAAGAAGAAGCCTCTGGAGGACGCCATCGAGAGGGCGCTCGACTTTCACAGGCAGGAGTGCTCTGACTCTGAAGACAGCGAGGGTCTGTTGGACGCCGATGGCAACGAATCCAACAAGGTAAGGATGCCGTATTCCCCCGTCAGCGATAGTATCATTTGCCGACGACCGGCGGCTAATGGAAGAGACTTACGGAAGGATGATCGGTTCCTCCTCAATCGACAACTTACCAAACATTGGAAGACACCGAGCAATAATTCAGCGGTTCCGACTGCCCAAGGGACCGAGGGGAAAACTACCAAGCGCCGACGTCTTTCACAGGAACCTGAGACTGATAATACCGGTGATGGTCCGATATCGATGGGTCCCCCGACGCGGACCAACGGCATCAACGGGGTTAACGGTGCCACGGCTGATGTCCAACCACACTCATCTTCGAAGAAGACCCAAAAGTCGATGAAGTACGGCGCCGAACAGGTCGCAACCGACTCCATCGTGCTGGCCGGGGTTCAGTCGACCCTCATTGAGCTCCACCGCGACATCTTCTCTCGTCTCTGGCAGAGGGATGACCACCCTCGCTTCGAAGAACAACCCGTGGGCTTCATCCTCTCCGGGCCACCCGGTACGGGGAAGCAGTCTATGGTGCGCGCCCTCGCGGCCATGACGACCACCCCGATCGTTCCACTAGGTCGCTATCTCAAGGACACCAGGTCGCCGGACAAAGTGGGCAAGATCATCGCCGACGTGCTCGACGAAGCGAAGAGGTGTGCTCCCTGTATCATCCTCATCGAGCGACTGCACGAATTCATGTCCAAGTCCGGATCGGCCCATAACGACTTTGAAGCCGAGGTGACGTCCCAGCTGCAGTTGGGAATGAGCCGACTTAGGGAAGGGGCACCAGCACCGGCACCGGCACCGGCACCGGCACCGGCACCGGCACCGGGTAGCAAACCTGTAGTCGTCGTGGCAACCACCAGCAAGCTGGAGACCATCGACCCTACGCTCCGGAGGCACGGCTACTTTTCGCAGACCATCAACATCAAGGTTCCCGACACGGAAGCTCGGGAGAAGATCTTCAGGGTCTTGACCCATGATCTCGATCTGCCGGCCGACTTCGACTTCACCTCCCTGGCCGTACGAACTCACGGTTTTGTGGGCGAAGACATCAGCGCCGTCGTCCAAATGGCCGGGAGAAGGGCCCGCCACCGTCTCATCGACATTGAACAGGCCCAGGCTCGCAACGCACTGCCACCTGCCGAACCGTCCGATCTCCAGCCTACCTGGCTACGGGAGGCCGCGGAGATCCGCCTCTGGTACGATTACATCGAACATCATTCCTACACCACGCCGCCAGAAGTCCGCGTCACGTTCCAAGATTTCGAGCACGCCGTCTCCGAACATACGCCGTACATGCGCCGCGAGGGCTTCAGCACCATCCCGTCGACGACCTGGTCCGAAGTCGGCGCCCTGCACTCCGTCCGCGCGGCCTTCCAAGTCTCCGTGGTCCGCCGCATCAAGGAGCCCCAGCTGTTCGCCAAGTTCGGCAAGCAGCGGCCCGCGGGCGTGCTCCTCTTCGGGCCCCCGGGCTGCGGCAAGACGCTCGTGGCCAAGGCGGTGGCCAACGACGCGCAGGCGTCCTTCATCCTCATCAAGGGCCCCGAGCTGCTTAACAAGTACGTCGGCGAGTCGGAGCGCGCCATCCGCGAGCTCTTTACCCGCGCCCGGAGCTGCGCGCCCTGCATCCTCTTCTTCGACGAGATGGACTCGCTCGTGCCCCGCCGCGAGAACACCACCACCGAGGCCGGCGCCCGCGTCGTCAACGCCCTCCTCGCCGAGCTCGACGGCGCCGGCGACCGCGGCGAGGTCTACGTCATCGGCACCAGCAACCGGCCCGACATGATCGACCCGGCCATCCTCCGGCCGGGGCGCCTCGACAAGCTGCTTTTCGTCGACTTGCCTAGCGAGGACGAGCGGGTCGAGATCCTGCGGACCATCCACCGGAACGGGCTGGGCAAGGGTGCCGCCGCCGAAGACGACGGGGACATTGTCGAGCGCGTTGCGAGGGATGGGCGGTGCAACGGCTTCAGCGGTGCGGACCTGTACGGGCTGTACAAGAATGCGTTGGACGAGTGTGTGCTCCGGTACGACGGTGGGGAGCCGACGCTCAGTGAGCAGGACTGGGAGACTGCGCTCAACAAGACGAAGCCGAGCGTCTCTAACCCGGAGACATACAGGAGGTTGGCGGCCAAACTGCACCATCAGTCGTAGACAGTCAGCCTGGCTGGTCTTTAGGGAACGAAGAGGGATTACCTCTCGCATTTTCATCAGACGCCATTTAGAAATGACATTATACCCTTGACAATCAAGATACACGCAGTATCGAAACGAAGCCAAGAAGAGGTCAAAATCATGCAAAAAGAGGAGATGAGGTAGGTATTCACAGGGATGGAGATGCCATCCCGGGGGAAACATATGCTAGATGTGAGAGTGTCGGGTAGTTCTCACGCAATGGCTCTGGTCTATGGTACAACAAAGGAGTTACATTAACAGGAAAGGAATCGCTTGAAATGCGCCTGTCTAAGGCAGCAAGCCGTCCTAATCCCCCAAAATATTTCAAATCGATTCCGTCGTTTCTCGTTCGTTTTTTGTTGTCAGTTCTGTGTATGGTATGAATGAGTACACACGACCTCCGGCGGTCATGAGATGAGCACAGGAGGGTCGTAGTCTAAGCAGTGGACTCCTTGAGGTAGGCGATGAGGTCTTTGCGGTCCTTCTCCTTCTTGAGACCGCCGAAGGCCATCTTGGTGCCGGGGATGTACTTCTTGGGGTTCTCAAGGTAGTCGAACTGAAAGAAGTGGAAGCGGCATGGTCAGTAAAGCAGCTCACTTTGTCATGTCAAATTAAAAGCCGAGCGGGTGACTCTGCACTTACCAGGCTCTTGTCGTCCCAGGTAACGCCCTTCTGCTTGTTGGCGTCGGTGTAGGAGTAGCCCTCGACGCTGCCGGACTTGCGGCCGAAGAGGCCGTGCAGAGCAGGGCCGATCTTGTTACCGCCGCCGGCCTCGACAGTGTGGCACTGCGCACAGCGGGTCTTGAAGAGGGAAGCACCCTTCTTAGCGTCGCCTGAGAAGAAAATAGACCGCGAGTTAGCAGGACGGTCCGCAGGGGGAAGAAAGATATTGTCAAGGTCGTATTCGTATTCTGCGATGGAAGAGCGAGCTTCGAACGACGGTTCTGCTGCCCCATGCCCCCGGGGTGCAAGCCGCGAGGAGCCTTTTCGCCCACGACGCACCGGAGAAGCTGGAAGGGGTCGGGTCTGACACTCGGCAAGGCCAGCTTTCCAGGTAGGAAGCTCGATGGTCGATTGAGCAGCTTCAACTCGTCGAACCCCGGCGAGCATTTTTCTACCGAGGCTAATGACGCAAGGGTGCGACCATAGACCCCGGAGCCGACCGATTGCGTCCTGTTTTCCAGCGAAAGGCATCTTAAAAACGAGTAGCGACTGGCAGCTCGAGGCTGACCCCGTCCCGAGTCCACTGGATGGATAGTCGCTGCTCAATGGCTCATGCGAAGCTCGACTCTTCCCGGCGCAGAATGACGACGGAACTTGAATAGATTAGACTTACCACCAGCCATTGTGTCGGATAGAAAAGAAAGTGGATATTAAAAGAAGTTTGAAGTATTCGAAGAGATAATGAAGCAAAAGAAAAGTAACGACTTTCTTTGCTGGACGGCTTGTGAAAAGGACAGTAATGGAGGTTTGAGTTGGGTCGTAGGAAAAAAAGGGAAAACAAAAAAAAAAAAGTTTTGGAAGAGAAATTGCCGGCTGGGCTGATCACCATTTAAGAGCCAACAGGGCAGGAACTCACCATGGACACGCCGGCCCGCAGGTTACCAGCCACGTTGTGGCGGGCGCCTCGGGAATATTTGTTGGCCAATCAGCGTAGTTGGAATGGTCAGAGACGAGCGGGCAAAACCGGATGGAAAGACGGAAAATTTGTCCATGGTGACGCTCCTTTCGGATAGCCGTTTTTGAGTCATTTGGGTGAGGGGGTTTGATTCCTGGGGGCTTTATTCTTGGGGGTTTACTCCTGGGGGTTTATTCTTGGGGGTTTCTTCTTGGGGGTTTCTTTCTGGGGGTTTCTAATTCCTGAATGAGGCTTAGCTGTGACCTCGGAATTGGAACTTTTTTCCCCATCCACAGTCCATTTGCTGCATCGGAATTGAATTGATCACAACCCATATTCCGTTGGGTCTCTAGAAGGAAAACACTTCAACCATCTAACAAATTCCAACGTCTTCGTTTCGAAGAAGAAAAAAAGAAGAAGAAAATCGACAACGGCGCCAGCCATGGCGTCCTCAATCACCTCGGCGACTCTCCCACCGCGCTTCCTACTACCAGCTTTGAGCCCCATGTGGCGCGCTGCCGCAACTCGCGTGCCCAGGACAACAACCGCCGCCGCCACCATCCGTAATGCTTCGACCAAGAGCACTAGCCCGGAGGGCAAGCCCCCCATCCTCGAGAAACCCGCCAGGTTTAACCCGCCGTCCCATGGATCCCGACTGCCCCGGAACCAAGGACCGAAGCACTACGGCGGCGCCTTGAGCGACGCAGAGTTGCGAGCCCAAGGCCAGAAGCATTATCCCAGCATGCTCCCGCCCGAGGGTACGAAGGCGCACAGCTTCATCCACAACCGGAGCATTCATCTCTTCATCACTCTTGTAAGTTGTGTCAAGCTCCCCATGTCACCGGGTGTCCTCCACCGCACTGCAAGATACTCGCGGAATAAGTGGGCAAGGAGTTTTGTTTTCAATAGCATCTGACACGCTGTATCTTTCCAGGGTACCCTTACCGTCCTAGCAATTTCCACTTTCATGCTGAACTTCACCCACACCTCACCCTTCAAGCACCTCCTCCCCGAGCCATCCTCGTTCTGGTCCAACCCCGGCGAATTCATTCGTACGTGGATCCGGGTCATACAGCTACACGAGAAGGACCGCAATGAGAAGGTCATTGCCAAGCACACCCGGTACACCGACGACGTGGCCAAGCGGGAGTACTACCGCAAGGTCCACGGTTTGGACAAGGAGAACCCCATTGTGAACTTATTTAAGTCGGAAGAGCAAATAGAGGAGGAGAGGAAGGCCGCTGTGGCTGCTGCTGCGGAGGAGGAGACCATGGCTGCGGCCAATGCCGGTGGCGCAGGTTCAGAGACGACTGGCGGCCAGACAAGAAAGAAGTGGCTGGGGATCTTTTAGGAAGACAATCTTCAATGTCCATATTCTGTAGAATACCATGTACCCTGCATAGAATGACATACATGTCTGGGCCAGCCCAACTCCTCTTATGTTATGCAGAGAGGTCATCGTGACTACGACTAGATTCCTCTTTCTCCAATTGCCCTTGTCGGCCTCCGCTGTCGAGATTTTCCCTGACATCCATCCAGCATAAAAAGAGGAAAGGACTTTCCACATGTCTAACCTATGTCAACCCCTTCCAGTCCGTCGAGCACCTCATCCGCCACCCCGCCCTTCTCCAGGACCTTTGCGATCATGCTCTGCAGCACAGCCAACTTGGTCCCGCCCAACGGCGGTCTCCACACTCCCTCCTGCGCGCCATGCCCGTTCGCCGCAGCGGACGGGGCAGAAACGGCACTCGCGGCGGTCTTGCCGGGGGCACTGACATTCGTACCGGGGTTCTCCGAATTCGGCACCCCAGGCGGCGTAAGCCTCGAAGGCGGGTCGATCGTGCGCACCGAAAGCAGCCTGAGCTCCCTCTCCCTGCGCCCGCCGCCTTCCGCGTCGACGTCCATTCCGTCGCCCCCGGCACCACCGGATTCGCCCTGCATGCGGCCGGCCTCCCCTACCGAGACGGCGAGCGCCGACTCGGCCACGGCGAGTTCCTCCTTGGCCGGATCGAAGATGATGTTCCCCCCCACGGCGATGACGAGGAGAGTGATGGGCGGGCGGGAGGATATGGCGTCGCCGCGGCTCCCGTTGCGAGGGTCCCGCGGGTAAAGGTATGGAGCGGCCTGCCAGTCGTCGTCGAACATGGGATCCTCGTCCCCTTCCGATTTGAGGCGGGGGACGCGGGTGGCCAGAAGCGCAAGGTGGGTGGTAAGAGAGAGGAGAGGAAGCGGGTACGATAGCGGGGGGGAGATGAGGAGGATCTAATCACATTCTACAGTATTAGATCACGTCTATTTCTCTCAGTAGAACGGGGGCGAGGGGGTGAGTAGAGGGGAGAGGGAGGAGAGGCGCGGGGCAGTCAAAATGGAAAAGAAGGAAAAGAAGGAAAAGAAGAGGCACGTACGTCAAGATAGAGCTTCCAGTGAAATCGGCGGTTGATATACAACTTCTTCGCAAACTCTCCATCCGCGAGCAAAGCCTCGCTGAGCATTCTCGCCAGGAAGATGGTGCTCGCATCGTCGTCCCGCAACCCAGGGATCTCCACCGTCATCTCGAGCCATTCGTTCCGCCCTTCCCCCGTCGTGTTTTCGCTTCCCGCACCGCCTTCTTCTTCATCTTCACCGCCGCCCCGTCGTATCCTGACACCCAGCTCTCCGTCGGTGCCGCGTCGTCGTCCGAACGGATCGGCCGTCTTCTCGAGCTCGGCTTTGACACCGACGATGGCCTCGGTACCGTCCGAGAAACATACGCGCGCGCTGCCGTTGGTTCCGGGAAGAATGCCCGTCTCGGCCGTCATGGGCCTGAACTGCGTCGGTCTGCGTCCATCGGGTCGGATCGGAGGTGTGAGGGAGAGCGATGCGTGGAGGTAGGCGAGCTCGGCAGGTGAAAGAAGGGTTTGTTGTGTTGACGAGGCCATGACTTTATTGCTTTTTTTTGTTTTGTCTTTTTTTCTTTTCTTTTCCACCCGTTACTGCATCGCATGGCCCAATACTCGTGTGCTCTTCTAGTAATTAACCTTCGGCTTTCAATTCGGTTCTGTAAATGTTTTGGCGGACTGGGATTCAAGATAAATCGTCTCTTGTGGTTGAATTGCTTCTTATTTTCGAGAGCTTATAACTAATTTAGTATTCTCGTACTCTGTAAAAGGTTCGGGGAACATTTTATAGTGGGGTTTCTGTTGAATTGCCGGGAGTGTGCTTCCACGGAGCGTTGATTTAAGGAATATATAATTATATTTAGTCTCCACGCAACAGTTCTACCTTTTATTAGTTACGCCGTAATAAATTATCTGACAGAGGCCACCACCTTATCCTGACTCACGTGCTAGAATATGATAGTTTCCGCGGGGTGTGTGTGGGCCCCTACCGGTACTTCGTGGTACTTTGTCCTTAGCAGGCAGGTACGTATCATACCGAACATCTCCTTGCTGGGTGATTGAACTTGCTCTCTTATTAGAAATTCACTCCAGACCCTCTCGTCAACGAAGACATCATTGAAAGATAAGATTATAATATGTACATATAACGATATCGAAAGGCCCTGTACTTATCATTGAGTCGATGCTCGCGAGCTAGGTATTCGCTACCTGTATCGCTATATCCATTGCTACCCTTATCTTTTGGGAAATCATACGAAGTGCTTGACGGTAAACCACCAAGACGACGTCGCATCTGAGAATCGACCACGGCTCAAGGCAGGTCAAGTGCTGTGTCCTATCATACTCTGTACCTTAGCGTTGAATTCCCCAATCAGCTAAAGTCCAAGCACAAAGAATCCACAAGGTCCGGCCCGATAGCGGCGATCAACTCGGCAATCCCTGACTTGATGCCGCCGTCGGCGGACACGGTCTGCGTATTCCAGACCACAAGGTCAGACGTGACAAATAGCGGCCCGGACTTGTCAACCCGTAGGGCCATCTGGTCGAGGTCCAACGCAGCTATCTCGTCCAGAGTAGCGATTCCAGGCATGTCAGTGTCAAACAGTAGTTTGGACTCTCTGCCGTCCCTTTCCGACCCTGATTCGGCGGTACCGGTATCCTCTGATCCGTCCGAGTCCTCGTTGGTGCCGTCGTCTCCTCCCTTATCCTTTTTGCGCCGTTCGGCCGAAAGACTCACGTACGCGTTCTCGTCGAGCAACTTGAGGACATGTTTGTCGAGGAGGTCCCACTGAAGAGTCTCAGGGTCCAAGATGTATTGCGGCATGTAATCGATTTTATACCGCATCTTGGGGCAGCTGTGTATGTAGAAGCCCGGATACCAATACCGGTATCCAGCGTCCTTGGCCAACGCTATCTCCCTGAGCGCACCCAGCTTTCCAGGCATGAATTTGTGGATCGACTCATGGTACAGAAAGTAGACGGAGCTCACACAGTGCGGGAGGAGGTCCAGGACCCCAATGGCGACGAGCTTGCCGTCCAGGCTGTAGCATTGGTGGTACGATCCTAAGCGAAGCTCTTCACCTTCGGGTGTTGCGAGAACTTGACGCCGGACGGGCGAATCGCAAAGAAATCGTCTAAATCCTACCCTCGTTATTTCGGACGGACCTTCCTTGTGGACGACCCGTTGGTAGTTCTCGTACACCTGAAATTTCTCCTCGGTGAAGGAATCCTCTTCTAGGGTCACGGTGAAGCGGTGTGCTGGCTCGGGTGGCGCCTTCAAGTGCTCTCGCTCCGACTCGCGAATCCTCTCCACCAGGTCGAATTCGGTTTCGCGCTTCTTCGACTCCGCGCGTGACCGAGGGTAAAGACGAGCCGCGGCGGCGGTATATTCGGCGCCAAGGACATGGTTGTTGAACCGGTTCACGGCTTGTCGCTGATCCCGGCTTGGCTTGAAGAGGGTCGAGTCAAGTCGGATGGTGTAGTGCGGGCAGCAGGACTGGCGTTGGTTCGGACGGTACAACAGGCTTCCCGATCGCCTCCAGTGCCGATCCAGCAAGCTTTGATAGAACGCAGGGGTCATGGACGACGTGGATGCATAGTAGGAGAAGCCTATGAACAGGTGACGTTAGCCACACAAAGAAGATCGGGTCAACAGGTTCGAAGTGTGGGAAGAGGTGTAACATGTGCCGAGAGAGTGGGCGAGCTTCGTTGTGCAAGATCAAAAGCAAGTATCCGACTCAGAGACCTAGACGGAGTAAGGTCGTCCCGGCATCGAGTTCCCCCCAGGTGGTTTACCGAAGCTTAATTGCGAGACTACCTTAGGGAGAAGCTGGATAGAGGGCAAAAGCAAGTAAGAGGGGGACAGTATTCACGTTTTGACTGACTCTTTCCTCGGCGCCCACAATAGCCACAGCGCGAGGAGTTGGTGTACCCTGTATTGGAAATATCTCTTGTTAGCTCTTCAATTTTACGGCTAGAACTCCAGAGGCATCGCCTTTGACAACGGGCCAGAGGGAATGAATGTTAGACGTGTCAGACAGCTCTGTCTGTTGTCGTGGCTTCGCGACTGAATACGGGGAGAGCCGAGCAAAGGGAAACCTCTTCGAGGACATGGGGTTCGGTTCGGGTTCTGTCTTGACCCCACGATGTTGATTTGGAAGTGAAGTCCGATGCTGGCTCAACGTGCCGTAAAACGATAATAGAACGCGGCCGTGATGACCAGACGACCTCTCGAGGGGGTGCACATGACAGGCGAGTGCAATAGGTACATAGCTAGCTATCATTTGGCGCGTCTTCCCCACCGCAGATGTTGTGCATGCAGCCTACTGGGGCGGGATCCGGGGACTTCCCCATCTATTCGTAGGGCCAACGGAAAGGAGAGGTCAAACCACGAGGTGAAACGGTTGGAGGAGAAGAGCGGATGGTCCAACTAACCAATGGGTGTTATGTAGGAGAGCGCATCTTCAGGGGTTTCCGTTTCCATGGTGGAATCTCCCGTGAGCGCCGGCTCTAATGCGGGAGTGGCCAAAGGCGGACAGAGGTTTAGCGCCGAAAAGATGGTCAACTGGTCGCCTAAGTGCTGAAGCGAAGCTGGTCGTGTGAGGGACGGTGAGAGATATTCGGAACGCAAGTTCACACACAAAGTATGAAATACGAATACCCAGGCCAGGAAACCCGTGTTCTTTCGAGGCTCGAGGTGTTCAATAACCGAGTGGTATAAGTCGGCTGCGAAGTACGGAGTACGGATACCGTCCTGGGTGAACGACGAGCGGGAGGGACGTGAGGCAGCGAGAAAGGACGGTGAGAGATTAAAAGGAAGGTCGGTCGTCGAGCCTAACTGTTTCGATGTCGGTGAAGGGGTTCGAACTATGCCTCAAGCAAGCCGCTTCCAATACTTCCCACTTCGTGGAATCAAGGCGTGGTTTACCTCAAATTTGGGATACAGCGGCCCGGTTCCTCTTCATGAACGTGGGATGGAGGCGGGGTTTCGTTCGGTGATGGAAGATATCGCCTGTGACGGGAAAGTAGAAGCCGGCCAAGGTAGAAAGTACCTTAATGAGCGCGATGGGTACATGTGCCAGCTCAGTGCGCGGGCGACGATGGTGTTCTTCTGGTCGGACAAGCTCTTGAGCGTGGGGGATCTTTGGGAAGCTAGAGGAATAAACTGTAGGGGACCCGGGTGAACGTCAAAGTTGGTGGATCCGCCGGTGACGGTGACCATCGACAACACTGTGAAAGTAGGTACCTATGGAGTACGCGCAGCAATTACCTTGTAGGTAGGTACCTTAGGTAAAGGGGCGCGAATCGCTGGCGAGATGGAAACAATTCATTTCTCGTCGCTTCAAACAAAGCACAGAATCGGTCTATAGATATACTCTATTACCTTACCTACGATGCAGGGTAGGCCATAGCAGTAAGCCACTCTCACGCATTAATACTTGACGGTGTTGGTAAGTACTCGCTTCCAGGTACGGATACACCGACCAGAACTTCTTCAAGGTACCTTACGGAGTATTAGTCCCTGCATTACCTATCCGACCTGTTGTATCCCCCACGTCGTTACACGGCAATTTTAACCTTCAACGCCTACCTTAGACACATGAGAACGAGATGTATGCAGGTGCCGGGCTGCTTTAGTATTTTTACGAAGTAATTTGTGGCAAGTCGTGGCACGTCTTAATCCTTGCTCCCTTGGTTGTGGGACGAAGTTGTCGCTGTGAGGTGAGGGGGTACCTTAGTTAAGTAGAGACGTCTCCGTAGCTGTAACAACTGTAACCTCCACCTGGGTCGACGATACTTGAGCAAGGCCATTTCCCCAAGCAAAAGTTATAATTTGATGGTCTGTATACTCACCGCTGCTGCAACTGCCATGTCGTTTATGGTTCCGGTAAAATCTTTGCAGACCGACCTCATTCTGCTGTCTCGGCATCAACGGCTCGAGGTCCTGGTTGATGGTATGTTCTTAGTTTGTAACTAATACCTTAAAAAGGTCGCTGGCCGGTTGTTTCATTAAGGTAAGGTATTAACGGATTAGAGCAGCACATACAACTACAGAGTACCCAATTCGCCTAACAAATATCCACGCGTCCCTGCTTATTGACTGACATGAGTCCCCCTTCTCGTAGCTCCGGGTCTCACGCATCCTCTTGAGTGCATTCTCACCACGGGTTACTCGAGGCACCCTGATCCCGGAGGATAGCTACTCGTCACCAGGCCTACGGCGATGTACCTTACCAGTCAACCCCCTCCTTTCACTGGAAACTACCTAGGTACCTACCTTAGGTAGAGGCGGTCAAAAGCCCCAAGGTGAAGGACCACCAGGCATCACGCACTCCATGGAAAAGGCGAAATGGAAAAAGGAGAGGAAAGAAAAAGAGAAAATAGCTTGTCAAACTGTGTTGGACTAGGGTAGAACTAGGCCGGACCCATTCTAAAACGTTAACTCGTTGTTAGGACCGATCTCGGGGTATATACCTACCAGCTGTATGTACGAAGTAGCTTTAGGGAGTTGGCCTGTAACTGGGTACCTAGGTAACTTCCAGGTTCCTATGAGGTAGTTCTCTGGTGTCCAAGGTAGGTTTTACTTGCTCGTCTCACGGTAGGTACCGTATAGACCTGGAGATCCTTTTTGAAGACCTCACGAGAGACTAATCTGGGCTTCGGACCATACCGGGCATCATGCCAGTGCTTATAACATGCCAACCTCCTTTGTGCGGAGTATGTACTGGGGGGAGGAGGCTATAATACCCAGCGGCAGAGGCAAAAGCAAAAGCGGTGCTTCTATTTATCGGTATACGTGTACAAGCCTACCATACCTTAAATATATATAAAATCTATGTACGGATACTTTAATTACATCATTGACGATGTGTAAAGTAAGGTACCTAGGTACCTCAGGTATCATGAGCCGCTGAAGCCTCAAACTCACACCCGTCAATGGCATTATTTACACCATGCACTACTTTATATTTGGGGTAATGCCTTGTGAAATGCAGTGTCTTGGCAACCACTACCTGCAGTGTTCCGCTGCTTTTTTCTCTTATTCGTCGTTCCCTCTCCAGGTACGAGTACTTTGTACTTTCCCCCCCCCTTGGGGGGTCCTTCTCTTTCTCCTCCACCTCCGCCCATAATTTTTTTCTTCTCTTCTTGTTCTTTCCGTCTTTTCGATCGATTAGCCTCATTTCCTACTTCGACCATGACACTCTGCCTGGGATGGTTAGTCCCTCGCTTACGACCCGGCAGAGTCGGGTGCCTCACGACCTGTACGGAGTAGGTACATTGACTTCGTTTACTCGCCCGTACATGCTGGTATGGCCTGCGTCTACCTCACCTGCCCACCTAGCCGACCGTCCCGTGGAGTCGGATGGGAAATCCACAGACTCCCCCCTGCTCTTCCTGGTTAAGTGGTATATAAGTCAACTATAATTTCCCCTGACTCCGGCTTTGCCCCTCCATCTTGTCGATGCTATGGCACGAGACGTGCCCCTTCTTAACCAGCACCCACTGGGTCCGCTGTCGCTCTCACCTCCGTGCCCCCTACACAATTTATACTTCCTCTGCTCTTTTGCTATATTCCCAGAGAGGGCATCTGAACGGGGTTTCACCCTATCATCGCCACACGCGGTGGACGATCGCCGTGGTTGAGCAGTCTACGTTATTCGTCTCAAGCTCTTGTCTTCTTCCGCTTTGCCTCTTCGGCCCTGACACCGGCACCTTTAATACGGTCGCGTGGGCAGTATTTTTTATCATATCATTTCCCCCTCCACCCCGCCCTATTCCAGCGCCAACTAGTCAAGTCGATTGGTCACGAAGTACCTTGTCTGGCGGCCAGCTCCGTACCTAAAGGTAGCAAAACCCCCCTGGCCGAAAGTTTTCACCTGCAACTCCAAACGCTCTCCAGGCTTGACTTCATCTCTTCCTCGCACCCCTTCACAGGCGACCTTTAACCTTGCCTTCGGGCCGGGGATTGTCTCGAGACAAACGTCCCATTCAGCGTTTTCAACTCGTTGCCGCATAGGCTGCCCCATCTGCACCCAATCGACGGGATTGGCAAGTGATTGTGTACTTACGTACCCTGTGCTTCGAAGCTTCGCGACGACTACACCCTTTGCAGCCGCCAATATCTCTCCGCCTCAAGGTCAAGCCGCGGTCCCTTTCAACGATCCGGCTGCTTCGGAATCACTCTTGAGTTCACGGGCTGGTCACCTCTGGTGTCGAGGCGTGCATTGTCCTCCATACAGTTATTTGGAACCCCCGGACATACCTAGACCATCATCAGTGTTCTCCGACTCATTCACTCGCGACAATGCCGTCAAATATTCTTTAAAGCCGACAGCCCCCAGCCCATCTTGATTGCCTCTTTCGGATTTACCCTTTCTCTACAGGATCGGTATTATTCCATCACACATAATCTTCGAAGCCGGCAAAGCACAGCTCTTCCCTTTGCAACCCAACGGTAGCTCCAGTTCTGATCCGGTTACCGGGAAGCCTGCTTGGTCCTCTGGTACCCCTTCCGGCTAGTCAGCTCTTTTTCGACCATCAATCACAGACGCGACGCGTTGGCACTGGTACACCAGAGACCATGTCGTCCACACAAGAAAACGAAAAACCAACAGAGTCGCGCACCGGCAGGAATAAGCAGCGTAAGTGCGCGAGGCTAGCTCCCCCTTCTATGCTGGGCGGAGACGTCCCTCATCTATCCATTCCTTGAACCGACCCGGGATTCCGGGACCCACTGACATGCCTATTCGCAGGCTACAACTCCAAAGGCGAACGCCTCGTAGCCGGCGTGGTTCCCCTGACCGAGGACAAGCGGTTCGTAATGCTCATCCAGTCCACCCGGCGGAAGGGCTGGGTTCTGCCTAAGGGCGGTTGGGAGTCAGACGAAGAGTGCGCCGAGGCGGCTGAGCGGGAGGCATGGGAAGAGGCGGGAATATGCGTACGCATCGACTACGACCTCGGCGACATACCCGAGACCCGCGCCCCCAAGAAGAACGCTAAAGATAAGTGCTTGTATCGCTTCTTCGAGGCCACCGTTACCCGACAAGAAGACATGTGGCCGGAGGCGCACAAAAGGGAACGCCAATGGATGACTTTTGCCCAGGCCAAGGATGCCCTGGCCACGCGGCCGGAGCTCCTTGAAGCCCTAAGTCGCTGCACCATGTGTCGCTAAGGCTGAGGCCGAGGCCACTCCTGGCCATGGAAGTTGATAAAAAAAATCTTAGCGCGCAGTTGGCCATGTAAGGGTAGCCTAGGTTGTGCTGGAGGGCCATGTTCTTGGCCTTGCAGTTCATCACTTTCCCAAGCAAAAGACAGGGCAAACATGGGATCTTTCCGGCGTTTTCTCGAGGCATTGCATCCACGGAAACACAGTTTCCTGGCTGTTTGCCTGACCACCTCTACCCATCTATCGATCTATCCAGCTTGCATGGATCTTACACGCATGTGTGCGCCATTATCAACCATGGTATTGATAAAAATATCACAATAGACCAATTATATCGGGGAATACGGCGTTGCAGGTGCTCTGGGCCATAGATCTGGGGCGGCTTTCTTCCTTACACATAACTCTAGGGCTTTGGACTGGATCAGATGATACACAAACCACTATACAAATCTCCCTGCTGTAACTATATATTTAAGACATAGAGCGGAGTTGAGAGGTGGTATGTTACACCGTGAACAGTCAAGTCTTGGTTGGGCCATCTGCCCAACTATCTGCGACACGGAATCTGGCTGAGTGAATCGTAGGCACGTAAGAGAGAGATCAATCGTAGTACAACGTACACCCACTAACCTGTTGCAGAATCACAAGTTGTCCCCATGTAAGAGTGCATTTATCTCTGAGTAAGGAACATTTTTGTTAGAGTGCCAGGAAGCAAGTTGCTTAATAATAGGTCACGACAATTGCGATTGCGTCTTCTCCACGCCGTAAGTAAGGAGAGCGAGATCTGAGCAAGAGCCAGCTCCCATGCGACATAGCGATCAATCAGGCTAATCCCACTCCAGGCCCTTGAGAGCATTGCTTTCTCTCGTTCGTTTTGCGACTTCTTTTCAGCAAGCTAAGGTACCTACCTACTAGGCATTTTGCATGATGCTACTGACGTTACCTACTTACAGGTACCTTCTACTTAGGGACTTCCTAAAGCTTCAAGTCCGGTCTCAGGGGTGCGCTGTGAACTTTCAAAGAGAACCTATCGTAGTGCCCATGACTCTGGCGGGTATCTTGTCTCATATACCTGTCAAAACTCCCGAGCTACCCCTCTGTCAGCTGAGAACTGCCCCGCTCTAAAGTTCCCAGGTACCTAGTACTTCGTATTTCGTAAAGCGGGAATTTTGACGCTGTGTGAAATAAGATCAACACCACCGAAATTTCCATGACCATCAAGCATCTGATGACCTTAAGGTTCTGTATCGTGGAGGGGCGTGTTCGGCTCCGCAGGAATATTCTTCCGAACAAGCCGCCAGCTTAGGTACCTTAGAAGGTACCTTAGATAGTGTCCTTCGTAAAGGGTAAGTCTAAATAGCACTCGTGTTTGGATATCTAGTACCCAGAAAAGTGGGCTATAATCCACTATACTCCCTTACTCGAATATCCCACTGTAAATATATATAAATCCCGAGGCGGTATAAATCTAAAAATATAGTGATATTCGTTAATTAAGTAAAGAGTAAATTACGTTACCGTTAATTAAGTATAACCGAAGCTATTTATATATTGATTTTCTTTAGTTCCTGTATAGCCTAAATAGCCGCCTGTTAATCTTGCTCTTTAATCCTGACTTATTTATTGAAAAAGCCCTTAAACCGGGCAGAAATATACCTAGTTTAATATTCCCCTAAGCCTGTAGGAGCCTCCTTTACCTTAATCGGTTCGTTAGTAAGTGCTTTTATAACGCGTTAGTATCCACGAGGCGTGATTATTCCCGGTTTATAGAATGGAGGCGTAGTTATTAACGTAATTACTGGAGGCGTAATTAAAGGCAGCGTAATTAAAGGCGGCGTAATTAAAGGCGGCGTAATTAAAGGCGGCGTAATTAAAGGCGGCGTAATTAAAGGCGGCGTATTTATTACTGGAGGTATAGTTAAAGGCGGCGTAGTTATTACCCCTAAACGCTTCTCTTAAGCTGCGATTTTAAAGACTAATACTAATTGCTTAGTACTAGTCTTACCACGGCCCCGGCCGCGACTAGTTAAAGATATCGTAACGGCTCCTTATAGCCGACCTTTACCTTATATCAGTACTAGGTTTAAGGGCGTAGCTAGGGCTTATTCTAGTAAAGGACCTGCCTCGGGGTCTAAGGGCCTATTCCACTACTAATACCGATTAATCGATTATAACTATAACGGCTTATTATCTCGTAAATAGCTAAATAGGATATACTAGCAGAGTAGCCCGTAAAAGGTAAGGATTAAGTAAGGTAGGTAGGCTACCTCTAGGCGTGGTAGTTAATCGTCGTTCTTCTTAGGCTTAGGTAGTAACTTAACCTATTATTAGATCGCCTTAAGCGCCTACGAAATAACCTTTTCTCGAACTAAGGAGAAGAGGATAATTAAGCTAGTAAAATCCACCTTATTCTATCGGCGTGCCCTCTCGGTTAAAATCTCTCTTTTCTAGTACTCCTAGTAAAGCTATAGCTTCTAGAAAATAGTAGCTAAATCGCTAGAAGAGCTATATAGAAAGGATTTTAGGCTTACGTGGCCTGACTCCACGATAGATATTATTATATACCTAAAGTTAGGAATCTGATTTACCTAGTAACGAATAATCTTCTCTTTAAATAGTGTAATCCAGGATATTAGGGCGTAATTAATAGCGCTTTCTGGGTGCTTACTATCTTATTAGAATACCTTAAGTTATTTATTAAATTCGTCTTCCGAAGAGCTATTAATTAGGGAATTCTAGTCCGCGAGGAAGGTATAGAACTTCGGATACCGCTTAATACTAGAGGTTATTTTTATTAGCTTAGGAAAAAAGCCTTTAGACTTAGCTAGTACGTTTATATTAACGTGCTATAGGTATAGGATTTAGGGAACCCGACTTAAGATTAGCAGGTATTTAAGGGCGTTTATTAAGGCTAACTCTTAGTCGGTGATAATATAATATAGAGGGGGGGAATTAAAGGTCCTGCGAAAAGCCTTAAAAGCCCGTAAAGCCTTATTACGGGCTATAGCCCGCGGAATAGTCCCTGGCAGCGGCCGGGACTAAGAAGCACGGACCTCCTAGCAAGGCCTATACGATCCCACACGTACTTAGCCGCCTATATACCGCGTAGACTTTTCCTTCCCTTCTTTCCTCCCTTAGTTCGAATAATCCATATTTTCGGCCTTAATACGTGAATAACTTTTAATAAGCCGTTATATATTCGAGCTTATAAGATTATAAGCTTTAACGCTTATATAGAAGGAGGTCCTAGTCACTTCGCCCCGAGCCCACTAAGGGGCTAAGGGTAGGTCGTAGGGACCTCGTATAACGAAATCGACGAACGCGTGTTATAACGCGTATAAGAAGCGGTAAGGATATATATCGCCCCTATTCACGATATAATCACTAGTCTATAAGCGGCCTTTAAGAGGTCCTAACTTCACTCGTACTTCGTACCTACTATATACCTAATACCTACCCTAGTCGTTATACCCTCGCCCTTACCTAGGCCCCTTAAAGCAGAGACTGCTATACTAATCCTACCGCCGCCGCCGCCGGCACCCACGCTCTTATACCGGGTATAGTAGGTCGTTATTCCCGTAAAATTCAGTAGGAAGCGCACGGAATACACCGCCTAGTCCTAGGCTATACGACTAAAACTTAAACTCGATAGCCCGCTATTTCGCAGTAATAAAAAGGCGTGGTATTTAATTAACACGTGCCTAGATACCTAGCCTTAGTAGATGGTTAGCACCTTCTTTGGTAATAGAGACATAAATAGTGAATTTAACCTAAAGGAATTTATAGCTTACCTTAATCGCACGTATAAGGACCGTAACGAATAAAGTCGCGCCACTAATGCCCTTAAAGCGATAAAGTAAAAACCCGACTAACCGTTCGCGCGCTTCCTCCCGACTTTTAAGAGGAACCTAGCGTAAGCAGGAGGCCACGATTAGGTGGACTATATTAAGATATCGTTCCTTAACGGCGCCCTAAATAATAGGCTATATAATAGCCTAGTCGTAGCCAACCTCCCTAATACCTACTCCGAGTAAGTAGATAAAGAATAAATAATCGCGTGGAGATAAGAGGGTGTTAGTAAATCGCACCGACTGATTCCCGTCGCCTATAAACCGGCTAAGGACGTTAACGGCGATATCGCTATAAGTGGCGTTAATAAAGTTAGCGAGTCTAAGGGGACTTAATAAAAACCTAACCGCTACGCGAATATTATATATTAGAACTACTAGAAGAAGGGCTATATCTAATAATACTATAAGAGTAAGAAAGAAACGGTGGCACGAATATCCCCTTAAGAAGAGGAACCCGAAGATATTCCCGAAGATACCGAAGATTCGGAAAAAGAATAGCTCTAGTATAAAATCGGGCACCAGAGCCGATAGCGTAAAAGTAACGGGAGTAAGAGGAGTTTAAACCGCTATTACGGAGCGAGTTAGTATTAATCTAAGTAAGAGTTAATAGTAGTGGGTTAATAAACGCTTTTATAGATACCGGTTATAACTACTATACTATTATAAATAAGAAGTTTACTCGAAAAATACACTTACTATTAGTCGATAAAAAGAAATAACTACTAACAGGCTTTTTGGATAAGACTAAACCGGCTAGTAGCGCCGGTATTATAGTCTTTATACTAGATATATAAGGGTATACCGAGTGTATTTTTACGTATATAATACCGGGTCTAGACTAGGATCTTTTCCTTAGGTTTTTATAGATAGAATATAACGATATAGCCCTCTACGCTAAGGAATAAAGGCTTCGCTACGGAGTAGCCGATATCGATATCCGACTCTAAGGCGAAAAGGAGCTAAAGGTAGTATAAGAGATCTATACTATAGTATTAGTAATAGGGTCCGTATTTATAGGATTATATAGACGACTACGGTACTAGAGAAGAAAAAGATAGGAAGAGGGTTTACGGGCTATATCGTTAAAAGATATCGAAAAGGCCCTAAGTATAAAGGAATTAGTAGACCCGCGGGAATACGTCCCCGAGAGTATTA